GGTTGCTGTCCCTGACCCCAGTCAGATTGTAACAGTAGAAGTGACCCCTGACCTGGTGCTGCTCTCAACCATCACAACAAGCAAGGGGTACTACAGTCTTGCTGTACTGAGTCCATCATCTCTAGCAGCAGGTGGTCGAGATTGTGATGGTTATGGCATTGTTGACATCCTGGACATGGCGGGACACGTGCTGAGGTCAGTCACTTCACACAACAATGAGACACTGTTTAGAAGCCCCGACTACATGTGTGTCAACAACAAGGGCAACATACTCGTGTCTGACTGGAGGAAGAAGTCTGTGACATGTGTGACGTCAGAGGGGGATGTTGTGTGGAGATACGCCCCTACTGGAGACAGAGCACTCAGCTTCCCTTATGGTATCTCATCTACAGGCACAGGATGCATCCTGGTTGTAGACGGGAACACCAACAAGGTGATGCAACTGACAGGGTCGGGGGTGTATGTCAGGGATGTCCTAATTTCAAAAGACATATGTGATATATCCTGTGATAAATACGGATTCCTCCTTCTGTGTACAAACACAGAAGTGAAAGAGTATATGTTAGTCTGATAGAAAACAAAAACTGAAGGTTTATTCCAGTGATGTGCATGGGGTTACTCTGGAAATATATATATGAAAATGGTGTGGAGAGAATAGCTCCAGTCAATGTATAGAACAATCAGTATCAAATACAGTCTTCACCAAAACCTGGGGTGCCACTTATTCACTCATTTGGTCACAAAAGGATTAAGATTACTTAATAATAAAAACAACGATATGCTATGAAGAAAGAGTGGGCGGTTATATTTTTACGACGATTTCGGCAATAACATAGCCATGAAATGGACCTTACATGCTCCCTGGTCCGAGTGTAGACAAACAGCAGTAGTGGTAATTAAGTGGGACAGTTTTTAATTCGATCATAATCAATCGATCATGAAATACGCACGATGTGCGTGGATTCAACATTCTCAAGATAAGATCCCATCTATTTTGTTCCATGATAAAATCCGCCGTTTGAACTGAAACACACACCATGATGGTGACATGAAATCTATGAAAACCTTTTTGTTGATTTGGTAAGTAATCAGTGATGACAAACATCATTTTAACTTTGCCCAGACAATGCAGAAATATACTGATCTGGAATGTTAATACTTGGTAAGCATTAAGCTCTTCAATCCTTATGCCAATTATTAATTATGCAATTGACCAAATTCCCCATGTCAAGAAATAGATCCTTGCTGTATTATTAAGAAGACTGAATGCGCTGCTTACTGTTTCTTCATCTTGCCGGCTCTCAACACCTATACAGAAACCGCAGTATACTCCGTTTGTTTGTTGTTTTACGCCGCGCTCAGCAATACTCCAGCTATTTGACGGCAGTCTGTAAATAATGGAGTCTGGACCAGACAACCCAGTGATTGTTATCATGAGCACCTATCTACGCAGTTGGGATACGATGACATGCATCAAACCAAGTCAGCGAGCCTGACCACCCGTTAGTCGCCACTTACAAGGATAGTTGCCTTTTATGGCAAGCATGGGTTTCAGAATACCTATATATATTCTAACCTGGATATACACGGGTGAAACTCATGTAGTCAAAGTATTAATCTCAGTTTGTGTTACAACTCTACAGTGATTGGTTTTCAGTCACAGCTCGTGCTGGTGGGGTCTGGCAATTGTCCATTTAATGTCCCCTGAGCTGAACTGTGACCAAATCAAGTTTGCTACCAAAGGTCCAACAACCCCATACAATCACTGATCCGCCCCCGCATGCCACTGTTTCCTGGATGTTGGGCTGATGTTCCCATTTGCCTTCGGACACGAGTCCTACCATCAGTGTGGTGCAATAAGACCCGACTCTTGTCAGACCAAAGAGGGGCGTCGGGTAGCCCAGTGGTTAAAGCGTTCGCTCGTCACGCCGAAGACCAAGGTTCGATTCCCGACATGGGTACAATGTGTGAAGCCCATTTCTGGTGTCCCCTGCTGCGATATTGCTGGAATATTGCTAAAAGTGGCGTAAAACCATACTCACTCACTCAGACCAACGAATCCTCCTCCATGACGTTCCAGTATACTCTAGTCTGACACCCTGCTAAACGGTCCCGAATGCGTTGTAGTGAGAGGAGTGGACCTGTTAATGGTCTTTTGTCCCTTAATCCTGCTGCATTCAGTTGACGCCTGAAGGTGCCAAAGGACACTGTTGTTGGTGTGATGACTAAGAACAGCGCAAGTTGAAGTTGGAACCCGTTTTGCCTTGCGTTAAAAGACCCTCTTCTCTCTGCCACTGCTCTTCCGTGAACGTCCTGACCTCAGCAAGTCCTTCACATGTCCAATCAATAGCCCGACATGATATGCTCGTATATGGTGCATGCTAATGATTTGCCATCTTTTATTTTCTGGGATAGTACGCTTAAGCATTTCAGTTACAATTGTTTCAAAAAGAGACTTTCAAATTGATTAAACATTCATACAAATTAATAGCAGTTAAGACACATGACCTTTCTGTCATCAAGCATCAATTTCTATATAGAGAGCCCCCGGGTGTGCATACGGCTCGCATGAACGCGCCCACAAGGTTGCGCAAGTAAGCCAGCTACCATTCTACATGCAGATGTTGTGTCAGCACACCGTCTACCATTTGAAAATCTCTTCATTGGAAATTAACTCGCAATTACACTTCAAGTTTGGTGGTGCGGTACTTTCGACGAGATGCATATATATATGGCCATTTCCGATATATTTATCTTCAAGAGGTTATCCCTAATTGGACAGGATCCCAAATCTTCAATTAATCTTCGATCTGTACAGTCAAAACTCAGAAACACATTTTAAGTAGTGGGAATAACTCCCGTTGTCCGCCTCATGCATACAATGTGGAAAAGAAATATCGAAAACAACACAAGGTGCCCCCTCGAGAGCTTTGGGGGAATAATTAAAGTAACAGTTCTTGGTGTTTTAGGGAAAGCTTATGAGCGTGAACTACCAAATAATCTTACTCCGTGTTGGTGTCAACGTCAAACTGTTGTTCTGTCATATCTACAGCAGCTGATGGGTATCAGAAATTTACGAGGGATGGCTAAACATTTCTGAGCCTAAATTTGATAAAATCGGTTGCTAATTATTTTTCAACATGCTCCCCTCCTAGGTCCACACGCTTCTGTCAACGATGATGGAGTATCTGGTTCTCACTGGTATGGATGGCCTCCTCCTAATGGTGTAAAATAACCTCGACAGCAGACTTGACGTCATCATCATTTTGCATCATGCTTGCCAGATAGTTCTTTCTTCAAGTTTGGCAGAGACCATATGCATATACCCCATATGGTCTCAGAGTTTGGGTACAGGTAGAAGTCTGACCGTGCCAAATATGGTAGCAAAGGAGAATGTTCGAAGGAAGGGACATCAGATGTTTCCACGGCGTTGACTGTTGTCTAGTCTCTGGCTGATAGTAGTGAACTCAAGACTTACCCATGGTTACAAATCGCTCAACAAAATCAAGTGGATCTCCTTCAAAATGACGTAAATTCCCACAAGAGATGACGAAACTGGAGCGTTTCTAATCAGTCGCCTTGAAACACAGCGTGCTGAAACCTTTGTCATGCCTGTTCATTCCTCAGAATGTTCTCAGACTGTATTGGCTGTGTGACGTGAAGTGAGTTGATTATCCATAATCATATCATGTATTTCATCAAACATTTTCCGTTGTGGTGAAGTTGAGAGTCTTCGATCCTGATCTTGGATCATCTTCGGGGCTCTTTCTTTCCCTCTTGAAATTCGGTATCCACCTCCCAACAGGGGCAAAGGGAGACAAAATCATCCCCTAAGTTGCCACTTTGTCCCCTTGCATGGATGAGTTGCTGTTCCTATTATCTCCATTTCATCAACAGAGAATACCTGGTCACCTTGATGTCTACCAAAATATGCTTCCTGGTTGAGTATTTGGTTCAAACGCAGCCTGAAAGGAAGGCACGCATGGGTTCTGTGTTGCAGTTAAGCTCAGAACTCTTCAGTCACCCCTCGTTCATCAATAAAACCCAAAATCTTTACCTGCTATAGATTCCAGATGATTATGATAATGTCACAAGCAGAGGGTTCATGCCATGAACCAACATGTAACATATGTAGCCACGTTTTCTCCAAAATGAAGAATCCCTTTAATCTACTCATTGCATAAGCAATCAATTTTGTTAATTAACATTCATGATTTAAAGTATCTGTAATTTTATCAAAGAGGTTCACCCAGTTGATAACCTCGCTTTCCATCCTTCAGACTAGTCAGATTTTCATATACCTCGTGCGATAATATACATGATGTTTATCACACATCATCCTACATCTCACAGGATACATATCATCAAGAAAACAGCGTTATTACTCTCCCGGGCCAGGGGTATATTACATTTTTTGGTTTATGTAGTGAATATGAGTTAATGTTGAAAAGCATGCAGTAAGGGCTATAACTCTGTCAAAAATATATGCAGCAATGGAGGGAACTCTGTGTGTATTCCTTTTACCCAAAGACGTCCCCGGTGTTGCTGACGTCGCTCTGTTAATCAGTCACCAAAAGATGATGAGATGGTACAGAGATGAGTGTTGTGTGAGACACTACTCACGGGAATCAATGAAAAGAAGGACCGTCACCTGGTGCACGTGCACATGTTTGCGTGTAGTTCTGACCAAGGTAATAATACATGCATTGGTATTATTAACTTCTGTCGTTTCTAAAGAAAATCGTCTATAAGTTATTATATCCCTACGTATTTTGCGGTACAGGATGTAATCATTACGTTATGTTATATAAACATTCTGACGCCGGATGCATATTTTCACGGACACAGCCGAATGGAGACGATTTGGGACAAGCCGACAAAACAGTTACGGAAAAGGGCGAGTTCAGCCGAGTGCGGCAGTCCACACCCAGACACACAGCCTGCTGACAGGTAGACTTTCAGATACATCTTGTCGTTGTCAACACAGATATTGTCAAACTGGTAACTGATACTGGGCGTTAATTGGGTTTTGTCAAATATCATTTATCATCTTCTAGACATATATGTGTATCAGCAGACCTTGATATCAGTGTTATGGTATGCTGTAACAAGGAAGTCGCCTACTTTCGCTATCACTTTAAAACATAGCCTCACGGTGGTGTTATATCACATCGCAATGAGGCTAAGTGAATAGAGACAATAGCAAATATGTATCATCATTCACTGGGGTAAAAGGTAAAATAATAGGCAGTCCTAAATTCTACTTTCAGTGAACGTATCCACTCAATTGTTCTTTGTTTACTATGAGTCGTTCTATATGTGACACCGTCGATAGTGTGCACTACCAGTGTTCTCAATATAAGCGGGGGGAGGTTACTCGTGAGTGATAGACGACAGGTCTATGCTCCGAGGCGGGGCTGTGCACCTAAAGTGAGTGCACCGGGAGGCAATGTAGAGTTTGGGCCGAACTCGCATGGATACTTCATTATATTTGCCATCAGAGATCTTACCATATGTGCAAGTTAGCCATTGGTGTTCTTTCCGATGAATGCATACGTTGATTAGAGAAATTCAAACAATTGACTGATACTAATTACATGTCGTGTACCATGTACCATGTTGTATTGTCATCTCGTTGTCAACCAATCCCTCGGGGCATAAAAACAAGGCATTTAATTCAGGTATTTGGCACGCCTGGGGGTAATTACAATTTATATGCACATCTACAAAATAACTATATGTTAAAGGTGACATGAAGCCGCGACGTCCACTATCAGGATATATACGACAGCAGGTTTCAGCCTGATTCCGACTCAGTTTGTCGGCAGTGTTGAACTGATACCCCTCTTGTATGCATGCATTCACATGTGTGGAGTAACAAGGTATACATGCCATTCGATTGTGTCTTCACATGTAGGTGAATATACCGTACTTTTGTAAAGTTAGAACTGGCAAGTAAGTTGTATAAATGTTGGTACACATTTATGCAAACTGGAATTTGCATTTATCCATTTACACGTATGTGAAAATATACAGATGTGTGCAAATGCACGTAGATTTGCGTGGGTTTCATGACAATTATCATGTAGTTGTTTCTGAAATGAGCCTATGTTTGTTCGGATACAGTGGGTAAAGGGAAGTAACTCGGTTTAATTGTAACGTCTGTCAGCTGTCAATACGGCTAACCTGTACGCATGAATGTCGACAAGATAAATTCGTTATCAACCAATCCATCGGTACATAAAAGCGATAAAAAGGTAAAGGGTAAAAGTATGTTTGCAGCCGGGTGTACATATATTCATATTCAAATAACTGTAAAACGATACGAATCAAGCTCAGTCATAACATTATTGTTTTGAGGAAAATGAAATGTATAATTAATTAAACTATGAATGCATTTAATAGATGGCTACCCGGAACGGAAACAAAATCAAGGATAATTTCCTGACGTGCTCCATCTGCTCCGAGACGTACACAGACCCGTGTACACTGACCTGCCACCACACCTTCTGTCAGAGATGTATCCAGAAGTACATCCAAACCAGACCAGATGCTGTGCAGTCCAAAACGATCCCATGTGCCTGCTGTGGACAAGATACCATGGTCCCCCACCCCAGCAGGCCAGTGGAGGAGTGGGCTGGGCAGATCAAACCCAGCATCATTCTACAGAAGTTGACACACAAACCAGGTAGAGTGAAAACGTTCTAAATGTTGAACCTATTTTATTATTTATATTAATACGTCTTGTTTGATGAAAACGTAGAATATAAAAATAAAATGTACTTTAAAGGATATTTGTTGATTTGAGAAATCTATATTACTAACCAAGTTGTTTACAAAATATGCCATGAATAGTGAGTGAAAACAGGTATATAAAACATATTAGAATTGCAGAAGGCTGTTATGTTTGAAATTACATGTATCAACGAGAAAAGAAATGACTACCCCGTAAGTTACAGGTTGATTAACGTTGAGGCATGGCATGTAAGTTGTAACTACTGTTTGATTTACTGGTACTTTTACGTCTGTGCTGTTACATTCTGTCTGAGTATTAAACACTATAGACAGTTTATATTAACTGAAATAGATTTCAATTATCATGTGACAATACTCACATCATTCTATGTTTGCAGTGTTAACAAACAATTGCTGCACAATCTGTCAGCAACTAGGGGAGATAACTGCAGGAGTCTTGTGGTGTCCTGAATGCGAAGTGGACCTCTGTGAAAGATGCGTGAAGATACATTGGGTGAGCCCTATGTCAAGTGACCATGACCTCTTTGACCTGCAAACCAGAGATAAGGGGGGAGAGTGTAAAAGCGACAAGCCAGTCCCACAGAGGGAGACGGCTGACCACAATAACCAAGGTAAAGGTAATCTGAAGGCACCACTGCTGGTTAACACCATTGATATCTATCGAATCAGTGGCAAAATGTCCTTCAATATCCGTGACGTTGCAGTCCTGGATGTTGACGGTGTACAGACAGATGTAGTCACTGACGGGGACAATCACTGCATAACATCGTTCTACACCAGAAAAAAGACGTCACGTTTCAGTACGGGTCGTGTGAAACAATCTCCATGGGGTGTAACACAGCTGAAAGAGAAGCAGGTACTGGTTGCCGTCCCCGAATCATGTGAGATTGTAACAGTGGGTGTCAGCCCTGGCCTGGCGCTGCTATCAACCATCACAACACGTACTGGGTACTACAGTCTCGCTGTTCTGAGTCCTTCATCTCTAGCAGCAAGTACAGACAATTGTGTTGATATCCTGGATATGTCGGGGCTCGAGTTGAGGTCAGTTAATGCATACAACAATATGCGACTATTTACCTACCCCGACTACATGTGTGTCAACAACAAGGGCAACATACACGTGTCTGACTGGGGGGAGAAGTCTGTGACATGTCTAACATCAGAGGGGGATGTTGTGTGGAGATACGTCCCTACCGGAGACAGGGTACTCGGTGTTCCTCATGGTATTTCCACTGCCGGGACGGGAGACATACTTCTGGTGGACAGTAATTCCAACAAGGTCATACAACTGACAGAGACGGGAGAGTTTGTCAGAGACCTGCTCACGTCAGACGGTAACGTGTCTGGCCTGAAGAGTATTTTCTGTCATGCACGCGAATCCTTCTTTATCTGTTGTAATGCTGAAGTGAAGGAGTACAAATGTAGTCGATACTAATTCGGTCGTGCTACAACGTGAGACCAAGACAACTGACAAAAAACAAGGTTTAGTCGAGATCCAGTACCAAGTAGTATGATAAGTATCCGCTCAACAAACCAAGTCCTCAACAGGATTGTGGACGATAACAATAGTGATTAGTGTCAGAGTATAAAACGAAAACTATTGAAACTCACAAGGTACATGTTCCATGTCACAACGTTTAGCTTACTAAATATATATACAATTACTTTCTGTAAAATAGTAGTATATGAAGCATAAATAAAGATGACACTACAATTCCGACCACACCCATAATGGTATTGCAGTGTTGGAGGACTGTTGTGAAAAACATGATTTTATTTCTTCAGGGCACGCAATTTTGTTTGGAAAGGAGAATCCGAACAATTTATTTTTTTCACAATGCTTTTTTTCAGGACAGACAGAGAACAATTTTTTGTGATAAAATCTGATAAATAATTACTTCTTTAACATTTATTCAAATGGTTCACGAATTTGTCTTCAAAATGCATCTTCTTTTTCTTTGTTTCTGAATAACCATGTCGTTTTATTCGTCATAATGGGCTGCGAGGTCGTTATACGTAATAACCACGTCATTGATAATTATTGGTTTTATACTATGTCCATGCACGCAAGTCGCAAATTGTTTGCCTGGCTTCATTATCTGTATGTTATTTACCTGTGTTTATCATCTATGTAGAAGTTACCTGTATTCATCATCTTTGTAGTATTTACCTGTATCCATTTTCTGTGTACTATCTATATTCCCTATCTGTGTAGTATTTACCTGGCTTTGTCATATATGTAGTATGTGCCTAACTTCGTCATATATGTGAAAATGTGATATATTTGATGAATAAAGTGGACACAAATATTCGTACAAACCATTTGATATTCTTTGAGTGTACATTCAGAGGTTTAATTTTCTAAAAAAACCATTTTAGCTCTTTTCATTAAATATTCAGTAATCGTCAAGGTTTACCTGTTGTCCTCGTATAATTATGCAACATTTACCTGGCTTAATTGTGTATGTGTGTCTCATTTATCAAATGAGGCGTGTTGTCTTCTGATGGAGACAGTGGCACGACGTTCATGCCTATCTGTGGGACTAATAGTTCGTGTATTTCCGGAACAACCGAATGAATGGTTACAGGCGCCGTCATGCTCACCATGTAACAGAATGGTAGATTTTGTGAACCTTTTAGCCTTTGTCACTCCAATATGTTGATTGTGAAATTGCCGTTAGGCGTTTCCGTTTTCTTAATTTAATCATATATCTTTCTTCAATGAAATGGCTGTCACTGCATGTTATTGTATAACTGTCTCTGGTACTGCTGCTTCCTTCCATACACCTTTGCCACACCGAACAGTAATCGCACAACAGTGACAGGAATGGTGATACACACAAGCATGACATTGGTTTAGTGACAGCACTCAGTACCGCTTAAAAAATATTGTCCTTCTCCACTGAAAGTCATATGGTGTCAAATATGAGTGAAGAGGGTATTCGGCAAGATTTTATCAACATTATCTAGCAATCCAAGGATCAACATTATCATTGAAATTATTATTGACATAACTCATAAGCGATCTTGTTCCGTTGTGTGTATAGGGCGGTGAGGTGAAATCGGGTTAACGTCTAGTTCAAGGTTTGTTCACCTATACAGCCACGAGCATTGTCCTGTGTGCATTAACTAGTCCAGGTTTATGTCGGTTTTATAGTGCTAGCCCACTGAGATACCATGCCTCAGTTTAACATGGACACCACCATATTATATTCCCTCCGAGCCAGCCAGTCCTTGATTTAACCTCTTAATGTCACGCAGTTTAACCACCCCACTAAGACATATTAAATTAACCCCGAGGCAGCCACTCCTTTTTGTATGACGCGGAAGGGGATCGAACTACCGACCTTTCGCTCTCCAAGCAGATGCTCTATCCACTAGACCACGGAGGCAGTTCAAGGATTGTATACGATGAAGGACATAAGGGCGCGCATCTAAGGCAGTGAGGAGACATGTGTAGGCGTTCTGTATAAAAGGGCTTGGCTTGGTCAATTTGAAATTCTTATCAAGTTTGGTTTGCATTTGTTAACTGAAAGTTTCTTATTCTTATCAGTGTACAATTAACATATCATAATACATACTTAAACAGTTTGTCTTTCCTTCACACAAACACTTAATAGGTCTATACCGAAAGGACGAAATGTTGTTTCCTTTACTGATTGAATTCAGAATTGAAGATCGACTGCGCAGAACCATGACTCAAATGAGGTGAGGTGAGGTGAAATTGGGCTTAACGTCACGTCCAAGATTATTGCACTTATATAGCGACGTACATGTTGGGGGGGGGGGCTCGCAACTTGTACTAGTCCGGACCGATGCCGATCTACAGTGCTAGCTCACTGAGATACCATGCCGCAGTTTAACATGAATACCCCACTCAGACACAGTATACTGACTCCGAGCCGACCAGTCCTTGTTTTAGCCCCTTAATGCCGAGCGCCAGACAGGGTAACAACAAGTAACATCTTTTAATGTCTTTTGCAATGACGCGGCCGGTGTTCGAGCCCCGGACCTTCCGCTCTCCGCTTATAGTGTGCTGGGCGTATTTCCAACGCTTTCGATAACCAGTGAAGGTTCTATAAATTATTTACATCGTTGAACATGCATGACCGGTTTAAGCTCTAAATCCGTTTAAATCAATGTTTCGATTTTAAAATGTTCAGATGTCAAGCCATTTGTTGGTCTGTTGTGATATTATAGCCAATAAATTCAAAATGTCAACGCAAGAGAAAATTCTTGAATAGTCTTGATTATCTGCCGAAACAGATTCCACAGGGCGTAAGAGGCAAACTAGTGACCCATAGTACTGGTAACATCGTGCATCAGGTTGACAAGCTGGCTCTGAAACTTTGATTTCGTTAAGGGTTTCAAGTTATTCAATATCCCACACACTGCTTCTGTATTCTGTGCATATTCAAAGTGACACTGCATTGTGCACATACTTCCATTGCATGTTCAAACGTAATGATCATGTTAAGACTAATATTCACTTTTATACTATGTTATCTGTCTAGCTATTTGTTATCATATTGTAATTACTTTAAACACGGTTGTACAATTATTTTTGATATATAACACCAACGCCAGGAAACAATCAGTCTCGACTATATGGCGAATATACCCTCATTGGGGGTAAAAGACAAAATAAGGGTGACAATTTCATGAATAAATCACTGCAAATCAGTGGTGACACCAGGTGTTCACGAAAAGGCATCCTGGACCTGCAGGTTTGGTACAAGCTCCGATTAAAGTGACTTCGTTTTAAGAGTATTTGGGAGTGAAGTCGTGGTTAATGTACGGATAATATAGGGATAACGTACGGATAATGCATGGGGAATGCACGGATAATGCACTAATACTGTAAGAATGATGCCACGCAACGCAATAACCGAACAGCACAGGTGAATCTTACTCATAAAAGTCTTTACAGAATCATTTTAGAGTCTCATTTTAGAGCATGGTATTCGCTGTGCCCTCTGCGCATGTTCGTGTCAACGAATCAGGATTCATTCGTACGAACTAAAAATGTCAGAATGCAAAAAGAGATAAAATCCTTTCCGTCTCCACGATACTGTTTCCACACACACCCCGTTGTACTTGTAAACGGTAACTTGTACTGCCGCTTTGATGACTTTGGCCTCACACAATCCCAGTCCCTTCTCTTTATTATACTGAACTTCTTTTTTGTGAATACATCTGACTGTGTACAAGCAAGGACAAAACATGTACTTTGCATTGACCTGTATTTTTATCTGAATTTTCAGTGTTGGTCTTTATTAGCAGCTTGACAATGTTATTAACGTTATCATCACTCAATAGCAGTGCCATAGACGTTCCAAACAATGTTGCTGTACAATGTCAGTATAATAGGGAATTCTAAGATAGGCCGCACTCTGGTATATTGTCACGAGTTCATTTCCAAATAAACCGCAGAGGATCAGGCAGTAATAGGTAAACACAGAACTAAATTGTGAAATCGGTACAAGATCACTGCTTGTACTGACAAAAAGGGCATTGCATGTATACAGGTTCACACATATTTGTACAAACACGAAGGTGTATAACATCTTCCCATATAACAAAAACACTGTTTATAGCGAATTCAGTGTGTGTATATAGAAATATGCCGATCTCTCACGTTGTTATGGGAATCATCCCTGATTCGATCCAGGAACCTACGTTGTCATCAGCTTTGATCCCTTTTGAATGACCACTTGTCAAGATTTCGCAGTTGCCTCCCTTGTACGTTATGCGGGAGGGACAGGTTGGGGTTGGCACAGCTGTGTACCTCGGCGGGATTTGGTTATTTCAAGGCATCCAGGACATACAATAAAATCTCACACAGTGTACATGAAGAACTAGTATATATTCAACTTACATGAGGTATGTGTTTCTTAAATTAGTTTAATTTTAGTTTTGTCAACACACGAGGCTTCAAACGAAGAGAAACCGAAAGTAGAAATTGTTGGCCTCAAAGTAAAATACATTCATGTAATTTTCTTTTATTGTTTTATGTTTAATGTATATCTGACGTTCTGGTGAACAACGTTATTTGTTGATGTGTAAAACGGACACAATAAAGATATGTATCAGACTTAGTCCCGAATACTAACGTTCAGTTACCTCCCTTGTAATGTGAAAAGGGTGGGGCGGTGTGTCTATTTACTGTAAAGGAAAGCTTGGTGTTAACATAATTTATTTATTTATTTATTTATACTAACTGTTGGTAGTTTTGAAACATTTATAGGAAACACGTGCGCATTTCAAATAAGGTGGATAATGTCACAGCTGCGAGAGTTTAATTTGGCATCAATTAAGCCTGACCTCACATTATCACAATAATTCATATACATGTATCCAGTTTTAGTTCATCTCTGCAGGTAAATCCTGTATTGTGCGGAAACAACAAGTTTGTTCTTATAGCACAGTCAGTAAGTCATTACCATAATGAGTTCAACTATAATGAGGGAAAGGTTTAGTTCACATACAAGGATAAACAAATATAGAGATCTAGACCCACGTTTCGGAAAAGCCTTGTTTGGCGTTATATCAATATATGTATTCCTATAGTACTATAGAAGGGTCAATATGGACACATTGGGAACACATATTTATATCTTCAAGTTGATTTGAAAAGAATATTAAAGTCTGATTTACTGAGAGACTATCCCTCTTGTTACTGAATATATATCTCAAGTAACCAACGCTTGTCACAAGTGCGACTCAATTTGAACAGTTTCTTACAATGTGTGATCGTACCCTGACCTCTGGACTCAATTGTCGTCATACCAGCAGCTGTTGGGTTGCCTGGTGGACACTCGACATACTCACTGTCACTTTTGGAACAAGGAATTATATGTGATGTGCCAAACAGTAAACGGATTTTTTCAGCTTTTATGATCAAATGCAGTTGATTTTATATGAAGAATAAACCCTCTTACGATGGTAGCTGCTGATGGTTTGAGTGGTCGAACCTGGACATACTACAGGTCACTATGGTGTAGTTGACATGTCATGTTGATGGTGAAGAAACAACATTGAGACAAACTACACATTCGACAGTCAATAACAGATGTCTCAACATATTTGATGACGCACTCAACACGTGAATGAATTCGGATATGTGCCACTTTGAACAGTACATGTATTTCAGTTGTCAGCTTGGTGTGGAAGGTAAGTCCGAAGTGACATTTTCAAGATGTGCCAACCAAAATACAAATTGTCCCATTACAGAGACAGACGAACTTCACCAGAAAAAATATATTTTGAAAAATTGAAAAATGATTTATGTGACCTTCAATTCTGGTTTTTCAGATGGCGACATCCCAGAATGAGAAAGTGATGGAATTCCTCACCTGTGTGATCTGCCAGGAACTGTACACAGACCCCTGTACACTGAGATGTGATCACACATTCTGCAGGAAATGTGTCACCAAGTACATCCTGACCAGACCAGATGCTGTACAGTCCAAGACGATCCCCTGTGCCTTCTGTCGACAAGATACCAAGGTCCCCAACCCCAGCAGGCCAGTGGAGGAGTGGGCGGGGCAGATCAAACCCAGCATCATTATACAGGGGCTGATTGACACCCTCGGGGCTGAGGGTGATGTACCAGGTTAAGTTCAACCAGAAGTAACATTCATATGGATCAGTTAATCATGTTCATCGAAAGATAAATTTATGACAAAAAGATCTTCAAACGTATTAATCAGAAGTAATGTCAATCCAGTTTGATGAATTATTTGGTGGAAGGTTAGCCAAGTGAACAAGAGAAAGGTACAACCAGTTGTAATATTTAAGTTGATTTAATCACCTGTGTTTATGATATAGTATTTATTCATGAGAAATTGAAACTTGAAATAGTTCATCAAGTTGGATCGGTTATTGAACTTAAAATAAAGACTGTTTACATGCTTAGCATTCCCATATTGTTTTTTTTTAGAAACAATACGTTTGTACTTCTCTTCACAGAGACGTCAAAGACATACTGCACGATCTGTCAGCAACTAGGGGAACAACTCCAGGTGCCTTGTGGTGTCCTGAGTGTGAAGTGGCCCTCTGTGACAGATGTGTGAAGACACACCGTGTGAGCCCTATTTTACAGAACCATGTCCTGTGTGACCTGTCATCTAGGTCAAAGGGCAGACGGAGGGTCAAGTGTTCAGAGCACAAGAGTAACAATGTCGAGTTCCACTGTAAAGACTGTCAGAAGCCTGCTTGTCAGACATGCTGTATCATCTACCACAGAGCTTGTAAAACTGTCGTCACCATTGAGTCTATGAAGCCAGAGATGAAGACAGTACTGCTGGAGAAGAGATTTGGCATGGGAAAGAGACTGAAGGTGAGGTCGAAGAAGGTAGAGATGAAAAACGAGAAACTGCAAAATAGTTCAAGAATCACAGAGACAACTGTAAACAATATTAAATCAATCTGTCAAACAGCTATAAACAAGATTAAACAGAAAGAAACACAACTCATGGATGAACTGAATCAAATAACACAGACGTACGCCGGCCAACTCCGCACTGGTGTGAAGCTTGACGAGATTGAGATGCAGATGTACAGACAACATTGTGAGTTCATTGACCAGGCCTTGGTATCGGACTGTGAGATGGACCTGTATGACGCGTATCAGGCCTGGGAGTCGGGGGCTGTAGAGTTGGGGGATGTCAGGGACACAGACACAGCAGACACACGGAGAATAGATGACGTCAGGTTTACACCTGACACTGACAACGTCCAGCACATCCTAGATGACCTACAGCTGGGGAAGATTGACGTCACATACCAGGATCAGGGCACATGTCTGCCGTCTCCAGTGCTAGTTGGCGTGATAGATGGGAAGATGGCGGGTGATAAAGTGGAGCCTGATCTACGTGGCGTCACAGTCCTGGTTGTAGATGGTATACAGACAGTTGTAGTCACTGACTGGGTTAACAAGTGTGTGAAATCTTTGTACACTAGAAACAATCAACTGTGTCAAAGTAGACTTCCCCTGGATTTCTCTCCCCATGGTGTAACACAGTTGGAGGAGAAGCAGGTGATGGTTGCTGTCCCTGACTCCAGTCAGATTGTAACAGTAGAAGTGACCCCTGACCTGGTGCTGCTCTCAACCACCACAACAGGCAAGGAGTACTACAGTCTCGCTGTTCTGAGTCCTTCATCTCTTGCAGCAGGTGGTCCAGATTGTGTTGGTAACGGCATTGTTGACATCCTGGACATGGCGGGACACGTGCTGAGGTCAGTCACTGAACACAACGATGAGACACAGTTTGACTACCCCTACAACATGTGTGTCAACAACAAGGGCAACATACTCGTGTCTGACTGGTGGAATGGGTCTGTGGCATGTGTGACGTCAGAGGGGCATGGTGTTTGGAGATACGTCCCTACCGGAGACAGAGCACTCAGCCACCCTTATGGTATCTCAACTACAGGCACAGGATGCATCCTGCTTGTAGACAAGAACACCACCAAGGTGATACAGCTGACAGAGTCGGGGGAGTATGTCAGGGATGTTCTAATTTCAAAAGACATACGATATATATCCTGTGATAAATACGGATTCCTTTTTCTGTGTACAAACACAGAAGTGAAAGAGTATATGTTAGTCTGATAGGAAACAAAAACTGAAGGTTTATTCCAGTGATGTGCATGGGGTTACTCTTGAAATATTCATGTGAAAATGGTGTGGAGAAAATAGATCCAGTCAATGTATAGAACACTTAGTGTCAAATAAAGTCTTCACCAAAACCTAGGGTGCCACTCTTTCACTCATTTGGTCACAAAATGAATAACATTACTTAACATTGCCCATACAATTTAAACACAATGATATGCCAGAGTGAAAGTGGATATGAGTGAAAGTGAAAATGGTGAAAGAGTGAGCCGTTATATTTTTACGACGTTTTCGGCAATGACATAGCCATGGAATGGACTTTACATGCTCCCTGGTCCCAGTGTAGAAAAAACAACGGCAGGGGCTATTTTGTGGGACAGTTTTTAATTTGATCATAATCAACAGCAATTTGTTGAAATCTAAAATACGTACGATAGCTTTTGTCTGTACGTGGATTCAACATTCTCCTCAAGATCTATTTTGTTCCATGATGAAATCCGCAGTTTGAACTAAAACCCACACACCATGATTGTGACAAGAAATCTACGAAAACGTTTTTGTTGATTTGGTAAGTAATCAGTGATGACAAACATCATTGTAACTTTGCCCACACAATGCAGAAATATTCTGATCTGGAATGTTAATACTTGGTAAGCATTAAGCTCTTCAATACTTATGCCAATTTTTCATTATGAAATGGACCAAATTTCCCATATCAAGAAATAAATCCTTATTATTATTAAGAAGACTGAATGTGCTGCCTTCTGTTTCTTCATCTTGCCTCAACACCTATACAGAAACTGCAGTATACTCGGTTGGTCTGTTGTTTAACGCCGCACTCAGCAATACTCCAGCTATATGACGGCGGTCTGTAAATAACGGAGTCTGAACCGGACAATCCAGTGATTGATATCATGAGCATCTATCTTCGCAATTTGGATATGATGACATGCATCAACCAAGTCAGCGAGCCTGACCACCCGTTAGTCCCCTCTTACAAGGATAGTCGCCTTTTATGGCAAGCATGGGTTTCAGAATACCTAGTATATATATTCTAACCTGGATATACATGGGTGAAACTCATGAAGTCAAAGTATTAATCTCAGTTTGTGTTCCAACTTTACAGTGATTGGTTTTCAGTCACAGCTCGTGCTGGTGGGGTCTGGCAATTGTCAATTTAATGTCCCCTGAACTGTGACCAAATCAAGTTTGCTACCAAAGGACCAACAACCCCATACAATCATTGATCCACCCCCACATGCCACTGTTTCCTGGATGTTAGGCTGATGTTCCCATTTGCCTCCAGACACCAGTCCTACCATCAGTGTGGTGCAAGACCCGACTCTTGTCAGACCAACGAGGGGCGGTCGGGTAGCCTAGTGGTTAAAGCGTTCGCTCGTCACGCCGAAGACCAAGGTTCGATTCCCGACATGGGTACAATGTGTGAAGCCCATTTCTGGTGTCCCCCACTGTGATATTGCTGGAATATTGCTAAAAGCGGGGTAAAACCATACTCACTCAGACCAACGAATCTTCCTCATTGACGTTCCAGTATACTCTAGTCTGACACCCTGCTAAACGGTCCCGAATGCGTTGTAGTGAGAGGAATGGGCCTGTTAATGGTCTTCTGGCCCTTAATCCTGCTTCATTCAGTTGACGCCTGAAGGTGCCAAGCGACACTATTGTTGGGGTGATGACTAAGAACAGCGCAAGTTGAAGTTGGAACCCGTTTTGCCTTGCGTTAAAAGACCCTCTTCTCTCTGTCACTGGTCTTCCGTGGACGTCGCTCACATGTCCAATCAATAGCCCGACATGATATGCTCATATATGGTGCATGCTAATGATTTGACATCTTTTATTTTCTGGGATAGAAAGTTTAAGCATTTCAGTTACAATTGTTTCAAAAAGAGACTCTGAAATTAATTGAATATTCATACAAATTAATAGCAGTAAAGACGCATGACCTTTCTGTCATCAAGCATCAGTTTCTATATAGAGACCCCCCAGGTGTGCATACGGCTCGCATGAACGCGCCCACGAGGTTGCGCAGTTAAGCCGGTGTCCCGGTATAAACTCTCCCCCGTACAAATTCTCCCCCCGGAGATTTTATACCGGTACAGATTCTCCCCAGGAGAATCTGTTCTGAAATAAAATCTCCCCCGGGCGGATATATTTCGCGCCCCCCTCAGTATAAAGTCTCCCCCCTGATTATTCGGTTTGTTGCAATGTCTTTAAGTACTATATTCTTTAAATATATATCTTTAATGTAAGGAGGGTTACTTTAAAAAATAGATTATGAAATATGGTCATAATGAATTGATATTTCAGCATATTTTATTTGGTAACTGTACCTTCCATCCTAAAATAATTATAAGACATATATCACACCAAACAAATTTGAATGAAATGACTTAATGTGACAAATACATGTACGGTTACTGTTGTAACTGAATTCAGAAATCTTATTAATCCTCGCAAACATTCGGTTTTGACACTAACTACGTAAAAACTGTCAACATATCCACGCCCGCCTCCAGCTCAGGCTGACCGTTATACTCTGATTTAAGATCTAAAATATATTACTTAATACAGGCTACGACTTGAAAATGGTATCAGTGTAATATCAGTGGCTAGAATATCATGGTGCAACCAGGTTTCTGTTAAACACCCCCACACATACAAGTAACTAAATTTATCATATAATGGGTAGGTTTCTCGGCAGGATAAAGCCAACGGATAAAAACGATATCCGTTGGGGTCATATGCGGATAGAGATGCAAATATCAAAGGCCAAGTAGGACTACTTTCACTGTTTATAAACAAGCATGGCGTCGCCCTCGTCATTCGGTGATCGAGTCAGAATTAACCATCGTGAATCTGGATAAACTACAGGGATTATTGCTATCATTATCAAACGAACTGTCTAATATACTGAAAATCAGTGTCTAACTGTGATGTAGCTAAGGCATTTTATAAGTTTGGGCAACTTTCGAGATATAAATTTCGAAACAATTTTGCAAGGGCACGAGGCCTAGCCAAGCGGGATCAGTAGCCATATCTGTGCTTGTAGACCTCTGTGGCTTGAAACCTTCTCGACAAATCAAAATGGTTGGATTCGGCCAAATATGTTTGAACTGTTACCTTGTTTCGTTTTGTCGCTGTGTGTACATCTGACTACACTTCTTAACGTTATGAAAGGACAGACCGACTGTCAACAACGTCTGACCGTGGCCGTGACGTCTCATAGACTAGAGTTAGAGTAGCTTCCCTTTGACAAAGGGCAGTTACTCTAGCGGACAGACCGATGGATTGCCGCGAAAGGCAATTAAAAACAACTGTTGTTTTCCCTATCAGTTGCTTCGCCACTGTATAAGAAACAGATTTCAGTTGGAACTATATTGGCTACTGTCCGACTGACTAATCACTTACACTGTGACGTAATAAATATTAATGCGCGCATTCCAGGAAAACTCGCAATGTTTCGGTAATGTTTGTGAGAGAGGGAAAGCGATTTTAAAGCACAGAATTAAAGAATGACATTATATGATAAAGAGGTTATCACGCTTGTGTTTGGGGATGGTAAATATCCTGTATTAGGAATAAACACTATGTATTTAGCTCGCCAAGGCTCGCTAAATACAATGTTTATTCCTAATGCAGGATATTTACCATCCCAAACACACTCGAGTGATATCCTCTCTGTATATTTAGATAAATATATAACCCCGAAAAAATAAAGGCGAGAAAAAAAAAATACATAAACAAATAAACATTAAAACCTTGAGGAATATGAAAAGCCAATGTGTAATGCTAATTACAAAGCACGAAGACAAGATAAACTGTACCAACATTACAATGTTCCCCGATATGCATGCTTTACCTGGGTTACATACGGGTGATCAAAGTAGTGAGTGAGTATGGTTTTATGCCGCTTTTAGCAATATTCCAGCAATATCGCGGCGGGGGACACCAGAAATAGGCTTCACACATTGTACCCATGGTGATCAAAGTAAGAAATATATGACTGATATTAATTCTTTAAACACGGTAATATCGCATATGCTTGGATTATTTTAAAACTTTTTTTTCAAATGTGCTCCATTCAAGAACATTATATAGAATTATGTATTTACTCTCCCCCATGTATTTTGCTCTTTTATGTGAAAGCTTTTTACACCTTACACATTTTAATTACAGATTCCTTTGTTCTGATTTCAATGCAAACAAACCAGGCTCTACAATGTATTTAGTTTCAACAGATTTTTATACATAAATATATGAATGGGGATTGACAAACAAGCTTTACTGGCTTATGTAAAAGCCGCCGCCCTTTAGGCTGAGTTTCCATGTGTGCGGTTTGCCACGCGGTTTGGGGCACGTTTAGGATGGCGGTTGAAATGCTATATACAAAAACTATGCTTAAAAGTTCGGCGACTTAGTTTCCATTGTACGCGGTTGGGCGCGGTTTCACCAACTGCAAACCGCTAGGGGCTAGCGGTTGGTAAAACCGCGCAAATCGAAACAGTTCATTTATGATGTTGTATTTTCATTGGCGCGGTTAGGAACGCTCGGTTAAAAAAAAGTCGAACAGTGCTCGATTATCTTGAACCGCGTGGTTAGCCCAGCGGTTCTATCCGAGCCAATGGTAATTTTACAGAATAAGGCCTAATTGCCTTTGAAAAATAATCTTAGATCTGTACAGTCAAAACTCAGAAACACATTTTTAACTCCCTTTGTCCGCCTCATGCATACAATGTGGAAAGGAAATATCGAAAACAACACAAGGTGCCCCCGTGAGAGCTTTTGGGGAATAATTAAGGTAACAGTTCTTGGTGTTGTAAGGTAAAGCTTATGAGTGTGAACTAGCAAATAAACTTACTCAGTGTTGGTGTCAACGTCAAACTGTTGTTCTGTCAAATGTACAGCAGACTGATGGGTAACAGAGATTTAAGAGAGGTGGCTAAACAATTCTGAGCCTAAATGTGATGAAATCGGTTGCTAATTATTTATCAATATACTCGAGGCACACACGCTTCTGTCAACGATGATGAAGTACCTGATTCCCACTGGTATGGATGGCTTCCTCCTAATAGTGTAAAATAACCTCGACAGCAGACTTGACGTCATCATCATTTTCACTCTCCTACCCAGAGTTCCATGCGGCAGGCAGCCAGCCAGCATAGTAACTCTGCCACAGGCCAGCGCCATGTGACGATTCGTCACATCTTTCACAGTCCATTCAAGATATTGGATATGCTTTTCATCCGTTTCATGTTTGACAAGTCTACATATTTTCATAAACAAATGTCAAAGAATGGTTACGGTTCATTAAGAAAGGGGGCGGTCGGGTAGCCTAGTGGTTAAAGCGTTCGCTTGTCACGCCGAAGACCCGGGTTCGATTCCCGACATGGGTACAATGTGTGAAGCCCATTTCTGGTGTCCCCCGCCGTGATATTGCTGGAATATTGCTAAAAGCGGCGTAAAACCATACTCACTCACTCACTCATTAAGAAAGTATCCTAATACGTGAAAATCTACTTGTTTTTGCGTAGTTATCCTTTGTTTACAATGGTTGTACGGCTCCACGTGCTATCATCGAAGCCCAACGGAGAGCTAGCGATACGGTCACTTTAATGTATAAATATATATTGTCATGTAATTCACTGTCGCAGTTGTAGTAGCATATCTATATAATTATGCAAAACAATATGTTAAGCACCCCCAAATACTTGCATCAGTCTGTTCTATACTGATTTCTGAAAAAGCGCATTTGTTTACAAACAAGAGAAAAGTCCGGTCACGTGATATGCAAATTAGCCTGTGGCAGTGGCAGTCAACACTGCGCCGGAGTGTTCATCATTTTGCATCATGCTTGCAAGACAGTTCTTTCTTCAAGTTTGGTGCCAAATATGGTAGCAAAGGAGAATGTTCAAGGACTTTAAAGCCACGGTCATGCATTGAAACCATGACAATAACAGACTTGTGCACAGGTGCATTGTCGTTTGGAAACAAAATAGCTTTAGTAATTTATCAACGACGTTAAAATATTAGCCTTGATATCCACGCGCAGTTGAATAGTCAGATTCACGTAATATTTGCCATTAATGGTCGGTCGGGAGTTCACCAGTAGAATTCTTTTGGAATTCAAGAAAACTGCTAGCTGATGGAACTGACTTTGCCTTCTTCGGAGGAGGAGACGTCAGATGTTTCCACGGCGTTGACTGTTGTCTAGTCTCTGGCTCATAGTGGTGAACTCAAGACTTACCCATGGTTACAAATCGCTAAACAAAATCAACTGGATCCGCTTCAAAACGACGTAAATTCCCACTGGAGCGTTTCTAATCAGACGCCTTGAAACACAGCGTGCTGAAACCTTTGTCATGCCAGTTCATTCCTCAGAATGTACTCAAACTGTATTGACTGTGTGACGTGAAGTGAGTTGATCACCCAAAAAAATGTCATGTATTTCATCAACATTTCCCGTTGTGGTGGAAGTTGAGAGTCTTTGATCCCGATCTTGGATCGTCTTCGGGACTCTTTCTTCACCTCTCAACAGGGACAAAGGAAGAAAGATCATCCCCTTAGTTGCCACTTTGACCCGATGCATGGATGAGTTGCTGTTGTAATTACTCCATTTCATCAACAGAGAATACCTGGTCACTTTGATGCCTGCCGAAATATGATTCGTGGTTGAGTATTTGGTTCAAATGCAGCCTGTAAGCTTGGTACATATGGGTTCTGTATTGTACTTAATACTTGCAAACTGTTAAGGGTGTACTATTCATCCTTTGCAGTGAAGCTCAGAACCTTTTAGCCACCCCTCGTACATCAACATAACCCCACACTGTTACCTGCTATAGATTCCAGATGATTATGATAGCCTCACAAGCAGAGGGCACGGCATGAACCATCATGTAACACATATAGCCACGTTTGAAAAAAGAAATTGGTAAAAATCAAGAAACCTATAATTAAGGCCCAAAATAACTCATTACTAAAGCAATAAATTTTGTTAATTATCATTCATGATTGTACATCTTCCCGAGGCAAGAGAGTTTACTGACTATAAAAGTCCAGTTTCCACCCTTGCCGAACTAGGCTGGTATTATTGAGTTATATTTTGACTGGACTAATGAGTCTATGCGTAGTCCAATCAAAATCGCGTAAGGAAATCGAAATCCGGTTTGTATACTGTCGTGCTGGTTTCGGTCGATTGCAGGAGTTGCAAAGCATGTGCACCACCTACTCGGCGTCAGCAGATATTTTCCAAATATTTTCATGTTTTTAATCAAGGGGCTCAAGTGATTTGATGCACTTTGCGATGTGAGACCCGTTTTATCACAATATAGATCTTGATTATTGATCAGATCGTCTTGACTGGGCGCCGCCGTTTTGTTAGAAACTTGTTTGTGATACAAGAGGTGGAATCCGATTGGTCCATAGGAGAGGCATAGAAGGGACACAACTCGTAATAACCACTGGTGGCGCTACGATCGAGCCCAGAAATTCCAGCCTAGTTCGGCAAGGGTAGAAACTGGACTTTTATAGTCAGTTAACTCCCTTGCCTCGGGAAGATGATGATTATAAGGAATCTGTAATTGTACCATAGAGGGAAACCTCATTGATAGAATACATAGAGCGTATTAGCCGAGTGTGTTTCCGTGTTGTAAATATCATATATAAGGAATATAAGCATATTTTTATCCCTAACATAAGATAGTCACTGTACGGAAACATTCGAGTCTAATATTATTTTTATCATATGATGTCATTCCGAAATATTGGATCTTTCACACGTAATATGAAAGTGGATGGAAAAACCCTCTGATGCCCGTTGGCAGCTTGGGTTGTATACTCCCCAGGTAGTTGAGAATGATCACTTGAATGCAAACGGACTCCCTGGCCGGGGAACAAATAAACTGCATTGGAGCAGATACTAGTACCTGGATAAGCGCGGTATATAAACGTGTGTAATATAATAATATCATAACATAATTTCACCCAATGAAGTAACTTTCAAAACCGCGTATTGTTACATAATTGAGTGAACAGCCCAATTTCTCTTATGCACCAATGACTGATATGTACATTTATGGCTACAGAAAACACGCATGTAGAAACCAATAACATATTGGGAACGTTTGACTACGGTTCATTGAGAAAGAAATTGCATCGATGAATGGAGTTTGAAAGTAGTTCCCGGTGGGCGACCTCATTTGCATATTTATAGGATCGTGATACCATGTTTAGCATATTGGTGTATCGCATCGATTACACTTGCCATTATATGATAAAAGTCCATTACCTTCAAACTGCAAACTACATACTACAGTATTATTATTTTCCTCGTGCAATAATATACATTTGTTTGTTGGTTTGTTCTTTAACGCCGCACTCAGCAATGTTGCAGCTATATGGCGGCGGTCTGGACTAGACAGTCCAGTGACTGACATCATGATCATCGACCTTGGCATATCTGGAAAAAAAATATTTATGGCACTATTTTTCGAACTCAGTCTTGATAAGTATCTCTTTGATAGGCTTGCAAAGTTTCATTCAGGTAACTTCGGTAGTTGTTTTAAGAAAACTTGTTCCCATTGCAGACACTATGTTCAATGTCATCAATTATAAATTAACGAATGAATGAATAAACAACATAACAATATAAATATTTCGTTTTTTGTGGGGTTTTTTACAAGGTACACACGGTTATTTTCTATCGTGAAGACGTCCGATTTTCGATCACAAATCACTTCATTTCGTTAATCCGACATACTCGTTAATCCGACACAATCATGTGCAACCAACGATGTCGGATTAACGAGACTTGACTCTACTACGTAAAACAAGAAAATGCACACAATTATTTTTATAGAAATACCAAAACATCAAAGGCACCAGTTCAGCATCCGTTTGATGCAAAGTTTCATTATAAAATATTAAAGGGTTTCCGAGTTATACTCTGGAAACAAATGCTACATATACTTACGTCCAAGTACAGTTTGTTGCCAAGGAAACACACACAAACATTTTTTCGAGATACCAAACATCAAAAGGCACCAGTTCAGCATGTGTTTTTTTAAACATATGCAAAGTTTAAAAATAAAAATTAAAACGGAAATGTAACGTGACAGAAGAACGTCACCAACTCGTGGGAATATGATAATTATCTTTCTGATTCGGCGGATTATTAAGAGATACATATACTGTGTTTTCAATGTTGAGTTAGCTAGGTTACCTGTAGATTTAACCCCGCTAAATTGGTTTTGGAACCGAACGCGCAGCGTGAGGTCTCATATATTAAATTTGCGCGGTGGAATATACAGTTAACCCAGCTACCTCTACATTGAAAACACGGCATGTTTGTCGCCATTCTTCCATGACTAAATAAAAGGAGAACTCCTTGGCCTCAGCTAAAAACGTTGAGTGAAACAGCATGGGTTGAGTGCAGTGTTTCGAGTGGGGTTTCGATCAGATTAGACGGAATCACCAACATCAGCCTTTCACAAAACGTGCTCAAGAAGTTTGTTTACACCGTAATATTTCACTCGAACTTATGACAGACACTGAAAGAAAGTAGCACGGAAACTTCGTAAGCTTGTGTTTTCTGATCGAAATGTAGTGCTACACATCCATTGAATATTTTGTACCCGCAGCTTTCCATTTTTTAGCCTATATTTGTACATATAATTATTAATATATGCCTACCGATAATGACTGTCAAAGAAGTACTAATTTTGTAAATATTAGCCTCCGAGGTGATGCGGCAGTGAAATCGGTTGTTTCAATTTGAGGGGGGTTTATTGTGATTGATACCTCTGATTGACCAATAAAAATCGAGTATTTTCTAAATTCGTGGTAGAATTGTTTTATACCGTAGTTTCGATTTTCTAGCGGCTACAATTCTTACAAAATAACAGTGTTTGGATTACCAGTCACTCTCTATAATGCACTTAGTTAGAGTATCAACTTAGCCGTAATAAATTATCGCAAGATTTTATGTAGAATAAATTCGCCTGCCGGTTGCATGGCTTCCCAAACGATTCATGGGAGCCTTGGTCATGTGACCAATAGACAAGTCACATGACATAAACATGGCGGTCTAATCAGCTGATATCAGAATAAGGAAATGAGAAGTGTTTTGAGGAGCAAGTCATGTGTACATCACGCACGGCGTGACGGTGCTTCCGCCTAGACAGTCTTCCAGACAAGTGAAACATGGGCATGAAGGACGACGAAGTGGAACTGTTTCTCAGAACCCCTCACAACGCCACCAGATTGTCCAGAAAATGGTACTTTCTTGTGGGGGTTGTCGTCGGTTTGATTACATCGTTCAGTGCATTTGCCGGAGTATATCTAGTGTTCTTTGACCAGGTCAACAGTCAGTTTCAAAGTTGCAGCAGCCAAGATCACAATTCCGTTACAAAGACTCCAGTGATAGATGTGGCATCAAGCCAGTGTGATATCTCCAAGGGCAAGTATAATTAATTTTGCATAGTAATATGACCGAATGAGAATTTGATTGATTTAGGCATAAAAACTGACAGACGACACAACAGTGCATAATCAGGTGGTTCAAAGCTGCATAAAGTACTGTACTTCCTATAATAAATGCCCCTGAGCTTATTCTTTGAACAAACTTCCAAACCCTTTGGGTAATTAAGAACCCAGGGCTTAGGATGATATGTGGTACATGTTGAAATCAGAGGTTAGTATATCGCAGATTTCATATCATACCCCATATCAGGCCAAGGACTGAAGGCCACAGGGCTGATATGGAGGTCGAGGGTTGATGAGGACTGATATCATACACCAAAACATCAAATTGTAAAATATGTCTATTCGCAAAATGAATGCAATACATTTGTTTTTACCTTGTGTGGGAGAGTTGGGAAAGTTCAACCCCTCCCCACCCCGTGATATGACCGTCTCTAATTAGGCATGCAAAATGACTCATATCATTGATAGGTGTATGTGATAATATAAAGACATTAATTGCACTAGGGAACCATGCTCAGATATCACCTTCATCGGCAGATACATAATTTGTTAAAAGTTGTTGAAAGGGGTGTGGTGTGTGTGGGCATTCTGTGTCATTTCGTATCCTGGTAGTTTTGTAACTCTCGTTGGTTTGGTTTGTTGTTTAACTCGGCACTCAGCAATATTCCAGCTATATGACGGCGGTCTGTAAATAATCGCGTCTGGACCAGACAATCCAGTGATTGACATCATGAGCATCGATCCACACAATTGGGATTGGTGACATGCATCAACCAAGATTGGTGACATGCATGAACCAAGTCAGCGAGCCTGACCACCCGATTCCGTTAGTTGCCTCTTACGACAAGCATAGTCGCCTTTTATGGCAAGCATGGGTTGCTGAAGACCTATTCTACCCCAACTTGTTTCATTGCCCCAATTCCTGTCACAGTTTTATGTGCGTTTTCTTAAAGATTTTAAAGATATAGTAACGTAAAACATTTAATAAATTTCGAAAAATTGGATCCATATTCCGTGTTAGTAAAACTATCCACTACCATACAGGCATGACAGGCCCTGTTCATATTTTTCTTTATGTTAATGTTACTATACTAAACAAACAAAGTTAGGGATCATGAAATATTTGTATATACCATGCACATTTAAAGGTACTCAGTCTTCAGTACAAAAGCTGTTTTTCTCCATGTTCTAAAAGGCTAGTTGTCAGCCATTTGAAAATGACTAATTTTCTTGATTTTTACATGAAAGCATTACTATGTAACATGTCGATTTACAATAACTTCCTGAATTACATTTGATGCTATCATGTCCATTATATGATGATATCAGACAGAAACAGATTCCAAATATATATTGTAAATCTCAGTTATTTAAGCATATAAGCTCAGGCAAACTAACTGATTTACTTCAATGCTGTAAATATATTAAAGAGGCTATTGTATTACGTTCATCCCCATTTGTAATACTTGTTAATGTTGCACCAATATGTATATTCTATGTCAATATGTATTTTTACATGGGCCTGTGGCCTTTATACATGTTATACTGAATTAAAAAAATTGAATTGAAGTACAATCTAGAATATATATATTGCAAAGTTTGTAAGATGTGTTTCTATAGATGTGTTTCTACATATATATGTACATGCAGGGACAACAAAATTAATAAGATAATATATAGTAATTTAGTTATAGCATTGTATAGTACCAAATGAACTTAAGTGCACATGAAAACAGTAAAGCTTAGGTATCTATTTTTTAGCAGTGTTTATATCAATGTAGATGGCTGTCACCGTATTCGATGAAATAAGCACCCAGGGCGCTCTCAAACTTAGAATTGGGGGGCTCTTATTAGAATATTATTTGGGTGAAAAAAAACAGAGTTGAAAGATAAATTTCGTGGTTTATGCTGACAGCCTGAAACGTTTTTGAACAACAGATATATTTTTCTAGAATTTAAATGCCCATAATTAAGGGTGCATATAACACACGGGTGCGTATTGTACGTGAATAAATAAGTCTTGTGAAAATTGATCAATCGAAAGGGATGCTAATTTGGATTGTTCACTAGTCAATATATTAGCAAATACCGCCGTGGGCGCTTATTAGAGCCCGGGTACCCAAGTTACCCGTCCCAGCCCTAATTTTATGTCCTTTTATTTTTATTTAGGTCCAGTAAATATTTTTTGAAATAATAAAGTTCTAAAGTAGATTAATATGAAGAGACCAGGCAGAAGTGTCCTACATGTTATTCTCAAGCTTCATCCTATGACCATAGTCAAATATACTTTGACAAAATCACTTGAAAAAAACATATTCTTGTATTTTTAGCTCACCTAACTGAAAGTCAAGTGAGCAATCTGTCTGTTGTCAGGATAACTGATGTCTTGTCCACCATCCTTCATTTTTACATTCTGACATCTCAGCTGAAGCTGAAGGGCCTATGAATGGAAACTTTACAGGAAATATCCAAGTTATAGTGTCTCTAAAAAATGCTCAGAAAATTATGATCCAATTTTAAAGATGGCCGCCATACAGTGGCCATATTGGAAATGTAATGTGTACCCATTACACAGTCATATATGGATGCATCATTAAGAAATTTAGTATGCAGTGAATCTGTGGTATGGGGAATAACAATTCTAAATTTTGAGGCACATGATTAATTTTGATTCAACTACATGTATGATCTTTGATCTTCATGTGTTCCTGAGTTCCTGTGTTCCAGTGTTACTACAGTTCAACATGTCATCTGAGAGTATAAGGCCTGTGAAGCTGAAACTTTGTATGAACAATCCCAGCTATAGTGCCTCTAAAAAATGCTCACATAATTCTAATCTCATTTTCTACATGGCTGCCACAACGCCCATATTGAAAATGTCATTTTGGCCAATTATTTTGCCTTTTCTATTGTTATGAAATAGGGTCATCATGTTATGCAGCAATTACATGGTACAGAAAGTGTGAATAACCTCTGTATTGTTGAAAAGGCTGCAAAAAATGTTATATATTTTTTGCCCTTGAATCTATCGTTCAAATTTTGGTTTAGCTCACCATTGATCATTGTCTCCATAAAAGGGTTGTATCATCATAAAATACTTTCCTCTTCTATATATAGTTCAGATGAGCTACAGAACCTTTGGCTCCATTTTCTTTTGACAACCCTATGGTTATCAGGTTTTTTAAATAAAAGCAACAAAACCCTTTCCATGTTCATAAGAAATCTCTGCGGGTAGCCGAGTCGATTGTATGATTCAGACTATATCGTGAGCATGTGTTTATGAATCACTGTCAAACAGTAATGAAACCAGGTGGTCACGATAGGGTGAGTGTATCCGACCCCGCCAGTGGCACCTGTCACAAACACATGCAAAGACAAGTCAATTGTTCACCTGAAAAAACACGGGAATACGTGGTACAAGTCAAAATAGGGAATTGCACCTGACATCATTCTTGGCGCTGATGCATCAAATTTGGAAATGTTCTCCACATATCTACCATAAAAATCTTTGAAAACTTTACTGAGGCTTTGAATGTTGTAATCTTGATCTCATCACCATATGGCTGAAATATTGCTGATGTGATGTTAAAGTTTAACTCCCTCACTCACTGTAACCTTGATCAAACAACTTCTAAGCATAATTCGTATGACGCTCAACGGAACCTTGTTAGAAAGAACATGTTGGATTGTATCTAAAAAGTTGTGAAATGTCGACCCAAAGGACTGAAGCTGCAGGGATATTGCTTGACTTAAAGGGAAAATGACTATAGGAAAGTTGAAGTCGTCCCATTCTCGTGGTGCCAATACTATCAGTAAACCAAGAGCTTCTGCACCAGAGGCCTCAGTATCCAGGGCCCACTTGCACAAAGCGATCTTAGTGCTAAGATTATCGTAACTCCCATACTTTAACATAGGCTTACGATAGTCTTAGCGCTAAGATCGCTTTGTGCAAGTGGGCCCAGGACCTGATTAAGATGATGATATTCCTGTACTCTGCTACTTCTAGGTTCTGACAGATCCGACTGCTGGCCTGAGTACCGAGATGCCACCCAGTCCAGCTGTGAAGCCCGGGGGTGCTGCTGGAGCCCGGGGGTGGAGCAAGGCGCACCCTACTGCTACTACCCTCGCAACTTTGACCGCAGCTATATGCTCACCTTCTCACAGAAAACCAGTACTGGGGTCATCGGACACTTGGAACGGACGACAAAGTCCCCATACCCCAATGACTCCATGACGCTACAGTTAGAGATATCAGAAGAAACTAGTGATAGACTGCACATTAAGGTAAAACGTTATGGCCCTTGAATTAGCTGGATGATAGTTGCACTTTTATCATTACTTTTCATTTTCCATTTGATATTAGGCTAAAAAAAATAGTCTTGTTTCTCAGGCACCGTCACATCATCATAAAGTCACATGTTTCATTTTATTTCCATTTTAAAAGAAATATAAAATATATATATATACTAAAACACAATGTGATCCAATTCAGCACACAGTTACTTCCATTTACATGCGCACTGCTTTACTGCGCATCACAAGTTACAGTCATGGCGGCAATGGGAGTTTGTTTACTTGTTTATGTAGGGAGGCCCTTTTCCAGGTTGATGGTACACAACTGTTTCTTTGGTTACATACTAGTTTAAGCAACAACAACAAAAAACAGTACCCGCCAACACTATATTTTCAAAAGTCATTGCCTGAGAATCAATTCTTTTATTTTTTATGTAATAATGTGGTGAAATAATTCTTGTGTCCATTATTTGTTTTGTTTCCCAGATCTATGATCCAAGCACTTCCAGATATGAGGTCCCCATTGAATTGAATAAGGAGCAGAGCGGTGGAGGGTCGTATGAAGAGTTTGACATCAAGCTGGCCAGGAACCCCTTCGGGATAATCATCAGAAGGATGTCGACAGGACAAATACTGTAGGGAATCCTGCAGTGACATCACCTTTACTTCAATAACTCACAAACATGTCTTCTTACTTATAAGGGGGCACGGGTGGCCCAGTCGTCTAAGCCGCCGCTATTCGCTGTGCAGAGTTGCGTCCCTTGCACACGCCAGTAACCTATGATTGTGGGTTCGAATCCCAGTTCGCCCTGATTATATTTCTAGGTTTTTCGGCACCATACGTACCCGTGTTCGTTGGTTTCACCGAAGTGGTAAACGTCTAAGACCTGCATCACTTGGGGCTTTCCTCCCACATTAAGCTGACACGCCGTGATATGACTGGACTACTGTTTAAGGTGTCGTTAAGCACAACTCACTCACACACTCACTCTTACTTATTAACTTTATAAACACGGCTGACCAAGCATCTAAAGTGCCTTTGCCTTGTTGACAACACAGTTTAGGCTAAAACAAATAAGAGTCTAGGTTCTCTGGCACCGCCTGCATCATCATAAAGTCCACCGCAAGTTTAATTTTTATTTCCACTAAAAGAAAAAAATTTAAAAAATCCTAATACTTAAAAATGGTGCGATCCAATATGGCACACAATTATTTCCCTTTACATGCGCACTGCTTTACTGCATAAATCTTGTGTTTGGTCATGGCGGCTTTCTTATTTAGTGAGTCCCTTTCCCAGGTTGATGGTAAACAACTGTTTATTTGGTGACCCAGCAAACAATTCTACGTTGTGACAACGTTGTGACAACGTTGACTTTCGTTGCTACAACGTTGTGATGTAATGTTGTCACAACGTAAATCTGTAGACTCCCAGATTGGTTGCTACAACGTTGTGCGTAAACCAAAATACAACCAAATCAAGACGTTGTCACAACATCCATTTTTTACGTTGCTACAACGTTTATCCAAAATGTCGCGACAACGTAGGTATCACATACATATGGCGACACTACAGCCATTGCAGCACGTTGTTGCAATGTCCATGTAGATTAACGCCTGTCTTATTCCTCAATACCTCCCAGGTTTGGTTTGTACCAATCTAGTTAAGACATCAGGTACCAAGCAATACATTCTGCAAACTGAATTCACTTTAACCCTATCCGTGAAACAGCAAGTCAATGAAATGCACTCTCTTTTGGCAGAGTTTGAAATACGGCCAAGATAAAAATCTAAATGTTTTAAATTACATGTACAATTTGGTTATACAATATTTATTTTCCCAAACAGTTTTCAAGGCTATGTGCAAATTGTTCACAAATGTTTCAACACAATTAAAAGATATTTGATTTTCCCACGAATTTGCAAATTAAAAACCATCAAACAATAAGCCCTGCACAAATTGAAACATTTAAATTTTCTTGGCCTTACCCCATACATTCAGCATTGAGAGAAACACTGTGACAAACAGAATAGTCTATGCATCTGCTGTCCTAAGATCCATTTCCCAGCAACGAAATGACAATAGAATTCTGGTTGAGGTGACCTTTATTTATTCATTAAATGACAAGTCAGAACTTGGGCTTAGTGGCTGAGGAGCCTTCTCAGTCCTCAAATGAAAAGTCACAGGGATGATCTTCAACTGTATCCATAGTCTCTCCTTAAGCCTTGGTAACTGAATAAAAAATGACACAAATGTTATAAAATGGCAAAGCAAGGGACATATTTCTGACATAACAAAATAATGGTTGCATTCCCCAAAATAATATTTTGATGTCTGATGTCAGTCTTTAAACAGTTAAAAACTGCTGAAAGTGCGAAGAAGGCGCTGACAGTAATACCATGATGCTCTTGGATCATACATAGGCAGAAAAGCTTTTAGCACCGAATCATTGGTGTAACTTTATACCCCCGCCCTTTTAGATTGTGGGTATAATTAAAAAAGAATCATCTAAATTTTAATTCTTGAAGATGTTTGTATATATTATTGCATCATACATACCTTTCTGTCAGTGATGTACTTTAAACAAATATGCTCCCACAATACTGTTTTCTCCACCTGAAAGAAAAACAAACCACAAAGTATCACATTTTTAAATAAACCAGTGCTGTATAGATAAATCACATTTACTTAGAGTATGATGTAACTGGTGGTAGTATTGGCAAATAGTTTTATCAGTCAATAGATCAACTGTAGTTATTCAAAAGCAGTAACTTTACCTTTCTGCTGTACATCACAAACTAGTGATTCAAGTGAATATGTTGGCCAAGTTTCTAAAACCTTATTTGAAAAATATATACATAAATGAAAAATATATATTGCCAAATAAAATAAATAGTTCCCATATTTGAAGCGTGAATGTTGAATATGAATTATGAATAGAAGTGTTAACACTTTGGGGTATTTATCCTAATTAAAATTGTGATTATTTTTTTTAATACTAACCTTAATATTTTCCATATTAATATGCCAGGATATTTATATAGAATCTATGTTCTAATATTTACAAAGATAGAAACATGGGAAAATTAACAAAATGCAATAGCTTATACAATACCAGACGAAGTTGAAACAGCTCTGTAAATATTTATTGAAATTTATTTGTTACTACGTTTATTAACATAATACAGTTCAATATCGTTAAATATAACTCTGTAGACCTAGTATGGTAGCCTACGTGGCAACATATGGAGATCGAAAACCGAACGAATAGGGTTGCTATCAATTCCATTGTATTTTTCATTGGTGCACATTGGCTACACCTATCTCACCTTAATAATCAACAAACGATGACCAACTCACTGACAATATATGGTGATATTTAACTTTTGACTATCGACTAGCTTATCATCACCAATATGACAATACCGCAAACACCCCGTTATAGCGCGCGACGAGAGACTCGTTTTACTTTTGCTCGTTTTCATTAGAAGGGAGTCGGACATAGATCTAGTTATCGGAAAATGATGCATTGATTCTTTTTTGGAAATAATAAAAATACACCATTATAAGAGCCTTGCTAAAATAAAATGTATAGACAGCACCAACAACCTGATGGTCCCCATTTAGGCTACTTCAGTCAGTGCTGATTAGGCCTTTTCGGAAACAACAAGTATGTTTCTATCTCTTCCCGAAAATACAATTTTTCATAACATCATTGATCGCATTAAGACTAAGGCTATAACTAGTAGCCTACAGAAAGTCGATCTGAAAATACTTCCATTGTTTTGATTCCCTCTCTTCGCTGTATAAGAGAAATCTATTAAACCTTTCCCATGGCCTGAATGAGCCACATTGTTTCACAAAAATCAAAGTCCGAAGATTAGTACAAGTAAACTTTGAATAGTAATGATTTCCGAAATAACACGGAAGAAATGGCGATAACTGTCAGTGGTCAGTAGGCGATGCATAAGTAAGGCCTATTTACAGATCTACACGTTTACGATCGAAACCCGAACATAATATGACGGCCACAAAACGCCGCCAGACTGAATTCTGGTCAAACATATACTGCTTGCCCTTGGTATCCATAAAATAATAATATGGAAAAAAAGTCTTGGGCCTCCTTCACCTCTATATACATCATGTTCTGTGTATCAAATATTAATATCAACACTGACGCTCAGTGAAAGTGACCAGCAAACTGCATTCTAAACCCTGCCACTGCTGAATAATACGATACATTTAAATCATTTGACGATCTGCATGTACAGAAACATATCAACAAGCGGAGGCTACTTCTGAAAAATTAACTTACCTCATCCGAATTCACAGATCATCTGTCCAGTTCCAGTTGCTGCACAATCTCTTGGTTGTAGACTTCTAATATGTCTAGAGTGAGCTTGAACTAAGATGGCTGGTGACAACAAATCTTCCGCGACAATGTGACGTCATTCTGACGTCACTTCACGAGGCAACAGGCTACACTTTTCAGCAGTCGCTCTCACGCCGCAAGAAATGTTTTTAACTGTAATATTGCTTGTGACAACATTTAGTAGACAGATAACTTCGTTATAGATATATATGTTTAAAAAAAATAAAACTAAGAGATGGTAGATCTACAAGTGGTTTCCTAAACATCATTTACAAAAAGTCTTGTAATGTCCAAAGCACGTTATCACAACGTTAATTTGCAACGTTGTTGTTACGTTGTGGAATAACGTTGTCATAGAGATACGCAATTACGTTCTGGAAATTTTAGTATTAAGAGATGAAAAATTAAATGCCGAATATATAGAAAGGTACTGCATTACTGCCTTGGTATTCTGACAAATTCATGTTGATTTTGATAAAGCAGTTCAATTCCTTTATGACTATCGAGAAGCAAACTCTATAACGTTTCACCGACGTTTCAGAAACGTAGCTACCAAACGTTGTGTGATGTCCAATGCACAACGTTTTCACAACTTGAATGTGCAACGTTGTTATAACGTTGTGAAATAACGTTGCACGTTGATGTTATAACAACGTTGTGACAACGTAATATCACGACGTTACCAATCCACAACCTTTCCACAACGTTGTGACAACGTCGTGTGTTAGCTGGGGACATACTATTTTGAACAAGCCACACAAAAGAAAACCCTGCTAGCTACCACTATATTTTGAAAAGTCATTGCCTGAGAATCAATTTTTTTTAAGCCTTATACTTTTTCCCCTTTCACTGTCAGAGATGACCTTTTCACTGTCATGGTTGACCTTTTCACTGTGAGAGTTGACCTTCACTCTCAGTGTTAACCCTTTAACTATCAGAAGTGACCATTTCACTATCAGACTTGATCCTTTTACTCTCAGACGTGACCACTTCATTACCAGAGTTGACCTTTTTGAGAGGTACCAACTTGTCCTCAGATCTTTGTTTAGTGATAGCGAGAGCTAAGATCTTGTTTTAATAAGACTGAAGATAATCCAATTTTGAACAATACAATATTTGGCCAATTTATCTTCTAGGGGCACTTGTTGTTTTTTAACCCTTGATAACCCCTGCCTTTCCTTCATATCACTGTAGCTGTACAATTACTGACCATTGCCCTCATCTACCAGTATTGGTCATTCTGTGTATCAGTAGAGGTAATTTGTTTGTTCAATTTATTAATATGGGGCATTGTTGTTTGTTTGTGAACAGGTTTGACACAACTGGCGTGTCCCCTCTGATATTTGCTGACCAGTACCTGCAGATTGGGACTGCACTGACCACCTCCAATGTGTATGGCTTCGGGGAACACCGGTCAGGCTTCAAACTGGACACAAACTGGAAGAAAATGGTGTTCTGGAACCGAGATCAACCACCTGAGGTAGCTGTTTTAAAGTTTATGGCTGTTGTAAAGTTCATCAAAACTCATAAAATCTAGCTCTCTGATTGGTCAAACATACATACAACTTGGCAAGTCTGTTTGTATCTTGTGCTGATTATAATAAGATCAGCCTAAAACACCTTTACTGAACAACAGATAAATAGCAAATAGGGACCTTTTCATTTCGGGATATTGAATACAGTGGAAGTTCAATGTGTTTGTTCAACATGTGGACCCCAATGGCCTTCTGGTTGCACTTGCACAAAGCGATCTTAGCACTAAGACTAATGTAAGCCTATGTTAAAGTATGGAAGTTATGACCATCTTAGCGCTAAGACTATTGTAAGCCTATGTTAAAGTATGGGAGTTAGGATCATCTTAGCGCTAAGATCGCTTTGTGCAAGTGGGCCCTGGTTGTTGAAATACTTATGTATGTTGTCTCCCCACCCACTTCCAGCCAAGCTTGTATGAGCCCACCCTCTGTAACTGAACATGGATATTATGTTTGATAGTTTCTGGTCAAGCCAAACATGAACCTATGAACATGATGAACACAATGCCATTTAGAAAGTGGTCAAATATATCAAATGTTATAGTTTGGATAACACTTTCTTCGTTCACCTCCGGGATTCAAACTCACACTCACACTCACAGACATTTGACCACTTTCTTAATGGCATTGTGTGTTCATAGCTTTCAGCAGTGAGAACCATGCCAATTTACACTTGTCAGAGGGGTACACAAAGTACGTGATCTAGACTACCAATTGTCAGACTTTCATTTCTGTTGAAGCCACGGTGGCTGAGTGGGTTAGATCGCTGATTTTGTGTGCTGGCGATAAGGCGCCTCACTCTGAGATTGTTGGTTCGAATCCTGGACGTTACTCAACCCAAATAAGTACCAGTAACTTCTTTGATAGGCATTTAGAAGTTGGAGTACTTAGTAAGGATAAGAATTTCTGGATGAACAACTTGTTTATTACAATTAAGAACAACGTTTCGGTGTAGGTCACTTGCTTGATAACGGTGTTAGAACCTACACCGAAACGTCGTTCTTAATTGTAATAAAGAAGTTGTTCATCCAGAAATTCTTATCCTTACTAAGTACTAGTATGTGTACTTTACTAAGTTACTAAGTACAAAGTCAGTGTTATCCCAAATCAAACATTTGTTAAACATGTACTAGTATGTGTACTTTACTAAGTTACTAAGTACTAAGTCAGTGTTATCCCAAATCAAACATTTGTTAAACATGTACTAGTATGTGTACTTTACTAAGTTACTAAGTACTAAGTCAGTGTTATCCCAAATCAAACATTTGTTAAACATGAACCTTTACGGAGCCCAGGCTCTGTAGAACATGGATAATATATTTGATTTTATGATTCTTTTCTGTGAAGCCAAACCTGAACCTGTATGGGGCCCACCCTCTGTACCTCAACATGGATGAGCAGCACAATGCACACGGGGTGTTCCTGCTCAACAGTAACGCTATGGGTAAGATGTCTACAGTTGTAGCAGTGCAATACAGAGTCCGGAGATGCAGCAAAGTTTTAATCATGATCATGATAGGGATGTAACTAAGTCATCTGATTGATGAAATTGATAAACATACATTTTCTAAGGGGATGCTTGTGATGGACATCTTCTGGACTTTTTACCCTCAGAAGATCCGTAGAATAGGTCTTCAGTAACCCATGCTTGCTGTAAAAGGTGACTATGCTTGTCGTAAGAGATGACTAACGGGATCGGGTGGTCAGGCTCGCTGACTTGGTTGATGCATGTCATCGTATCCCAATTGCATGGATCAATGCTCATGATGGCAATCACTGGATTGTCTGATCCAGACTCGATTATTTACAGACCGCCGTCAAATAGCTGGAATATTGCTGAGTGTGGTGTTAAACGACAAACAAACAATCTAAACTTTTTACGGCGTATTAATTAGTTTTAAGAAACAAATTATGGACTTTCAGATGTGCGTATTGTATTTATTTTAAATTTGGTTTCTTAAATATTTGAGGTTGAAAAGTCACTTTCGTTTAATAAGTCCTCTAGAATACGGAAACCGTGTGCTTCAGTTGGATATATCATATAGTGTACATGTTGGTGGTATATTATCACCAGGTAGTTTTCATATTATACCCCTGTTGGTTGGTAATAATTCATCATAAACTCTCCACTAATGAAATGGTTATAGTTTCACACCTTACTGACTGGGTTTCAGAGGTTGACTTTCAACCATTTAATGGCACCGGTGCTGTGACCTACCGAGCTTTGGGTGGTATTCTTGACTTCTACATCTTCCTTGGTCCGACACCAGACAAGGTAGTCCAGCAGTACACCAGCCTCGTGGGGAGACCGTACCTGCCGCCGTTTTGGTCACTCGGCTTCCAGATGTGCAAATATGGCTACAACAGTGCTGAGGAACTGAAGAAAGTGATTGCAAGAAACAGGGCTGCCAAAATGCCTTATGTATGTGTCAAAATACCTTATGTAGGTGTCAAAATACATTATGTATGTGCCAAAATACCTTATGCATGTGTCAAAATACATTATGTATGTGCCAAAATACCTTATGCATGTGTCAAAATACGTTATGTATGTACCAAAATATAATATGTATGTACCAACATACTTTATGTATGTACCAAAAGATCTGATATATGAACCTAAATACTTTATGTATGTACCAAAATACCTTATGTATGTACCCAAAGATCTGATATATGAGCCTAAATACTTTATGTATGTACCAAAAGATCTGATATATGAACCTAAATACTTTATGTATGTACCAAAATACCTTATGTATGTACCAACATACTTTATGTATGTACCAAAATACGTTATGTATGTACCAAAATATAATATGTATGTACCAACATACTTTATGTATGTACCAAAAGATCTGATATATGAACCTAAATACTTTATGTATGTACCAAAATACCTTATGTATGTACCAAAAGATCTGATATATGAACCTAAATACTTTATGTATGTACCAAAAGATCTGATATATGAACCTAAATACTTTATGTATGTACCAAAATACCTTATGTATGTACCAACATACTTTATGTATGTACCAAAATACCTTATGTATGTACCAAAATACTTTATGTATGTACCAAAATACCTTATGTATTTACTAAAATATTTTATGCATGTACCAATTGCAAAATACCTAATGTATGTACAAACATACTTTATGTATGTGCCAAAATACCTTATGTATGTACCAAAATACTTTATGTATGTACCAAAATACTTTATGTATGTACCAAAATACCTTATGTATGTACCAAAATACCTTATGTATTTACCAAAATATTTTATGTATGTACCAAAATACCTAATGTATGTACAAACATACTTTATGTATGTACCAAAATACCTAATGTATGTACCAACATACCTTATATATGTGCCAAAATACCTTATATATGTACCAAAATACCTTATGTATGTACGAAAGTACATTATTTATGTGCCAAAATACCATATGTTTATACCTACATACTTTATGTATGTGTTAAAATACCTTAAGTATGTGTCAAAATGCTTTATGTATGTCCCAAAATACCTTATGTATGTACCAAAATACCTTATGTATGTACCAAAATACCTTATGTATTTACCAAAATATTTTATGTATGTACCAAAATACCTAATGTCTGACAAACATACTTTATGTATGTGCCAAAATACCTTATGTATGTACCAAAATACCTTATGTATGTACGAAACAACAAAACATTCTTTTATAATTGATGGATATTTAATTCATAGGTAAGTGTAACTTACCATTAAAATAACACAACAACCCATTGATTTCTAGGATGTCCAGTGGAACGACATCGACTACATGAAAGACCACCTTGACTGGACGTACGACAACATGACATACCCTGGTCTGCCGGACATTGTGGCCGACCTTCACAACAACAGCCAGCGATATGTTATCATTGTGGTGAGTTGAGGCAGGTGCTCAGCTGAGGTTGTGTGTTGTTTATTTCTTATCCTTGTTTATTCTGTGGCTGTACAGCTCTGTATCTTTTGAGATTGAAGATGCATTGAAGATCACAATCATTTAAGGGGTAATGAAATTATGAAGTTTCTTTTCCTGTTTGGGCCCACTGAGTGAGTAAGTGAGTTGGGTTCAACACCACTTTTAACAGTAGTCCAGTTACCGGTATATCATGGCGTGTCAGCTTTATGTGGGAGGAAAGCCCAAAGTGATGCAGGTCTCAGAGGTTTACCCCCTTGGTGAAACCCACGAGCACGGGACGGGTATGGTGCTGACAAACCCAGAAACATAATTGGGGCGAAACCGGGATTCCAGCTTACAATCATATGTTTTTGGCGTGCCCAAGGGACCCAACTCTGCAAAGTGAATCGTGGCACCTAAGATGACTGGGCCACCCTTCCCCCCTTTAGCCTACTGGAAATGTAACATTTAAACATGTTAAAGTTATTATAAACCTGTTATGATAAGTTATGTGAAATGTTCATGTGAATGACTGCTTGTCTTACTGCTTTCTTAAGTTTTGGATAGTTTTCCATATGGCAGTGAAGCAATAACTGCATGTGAACCTGTCCAACGCTTAACAATTTAACATTTAATCTTTAACAGCCAACTATGAGCAGGTCCGTGACCCTGCATGAATGTTTTCCATCTACCTTGAGCCTTGACGGTGACTGGTCAGACTGGTTCCATGTAAAAAATAATACCCGGGAATAGTGATCAGCTGCTTCTCTTAGGGTTATTATTATTTTAAATATGTTTAGTAAAGGCTGCATATAATTAAGAAAATAATGGAATATATTATTCCTGATAAAAAAAATAGTTTCAGATACAGTTGTTGCTGATCCTTGCATTAAAAGTCCTATAAAGTTATATCATTGGGTGTGTCTTGACCGAATCACCGGTCAATTCCAAGAAAACGTGTGTACAGCTGATAGCTGTGTCCAGCTTAGTTTACGAGAAAATACACAAGGTAATCTTAATCCCTAGATATAAAACAATGCCTAGCAGAACAGTAAATACTATTTAAACGCTAAATAAACATGTCTGGTGATTTTTTATCTCAAATTTCGAATTTGTACTGACGATGTTTCTCATCACCCGTTTGTTTGCCGGACTTCGCTGAAAGGGTACGGTGTAATTTTTTTCTGCGCATAATATTCAAATTTCTTTTTTTTCCAAAATATTGAACCCGCTAGAGGGGGGTGCGCATTATACATGGGTGTGCACTATACTCAAGAAAATACGGTACATGTTTGTACTGCCTTTATCCTATCTCCTAAGAAAATAAGCTTGGGTTATGTCAGCCATTTTGACACATCAAAAGCTTCCTCAACAATCAGACTTGTTAAAAAATGAAATTGTTGGTAGTAAAAAGATATTCATATGAACATATCTGATAACTTTCATGTCCAGAGTTGCATCCCTTATTTGTGACAGGATCCAATAATACACAAAGATTCACTCCGATTAATCTTGGTTTGTCAGTACCACAGTTTTGCATGCTGGTTTCACCAAAACAGTAAACATCTCAACTTACTATCATCACTATAGTCCCTCCTCCCCGTTTGACTGAAAGTCTTTGATGTAAACCCCACTCCCTCCCTCCCTCCCTCACTCACTGCTGATGACATCCTCCTGTGTGCCAGGACCCCGGGATATCTGTGACCCAGCAGCCAGGAACCTACCCCTCCTACGATGAAGGGATCAAGGATGATATCTTCGTCAAAGCTGACAACGGGTCAAATCTCGTTGGCAAGGTAATTCTGATGATTTCATGACTTGTCTCATGAACATGAACAAGTTTCTGAACTAGCTGACAAGTACAAGTACAAGTAAAATCTTCTTCATCTATTAAGTTACAATAAGAACCATTTGAAAGGTTCTTTAAATTTAGGTTAGTGGTTTAAGATAAAAGTTGTGTTAAACCTGAAAATAAACTATGAATGCATTGATAGCTATTTATTTGTGTTATTAACATGATTAGAAAATAATCCTTTTTTATAATTATTAGGACATCATCAGTTGAAGATTCTAGAAAATAGCCAAAAAATCAACTCACACAACCCACCCCTTGTGTTCTACACGTACTTCACCCCCTGTGTTCTACACGTCCTCCACCCCTGTGTTCTACACGTCCTCCACCCCCTGTGTTCTACATGTCCTCCACCCCTTGTGTTCTACACGTACTTCACCCCCTGTGTTCTACACGTCCTCCACCCCTGTGTTCTACACGTCCTCCACCCCCTGTGTTAAACACGTCCTCCACCCCTGTGTTCTACACGTCCTCCACCCCCTGTGTTAAACACGTCCTCCACCCCCTGTGTTAAACACATCCTCCACCCCTGTGTTCTACACGTACTTCACCCCCTGTGTTCTACACGTCCTCCACCCCTGTCTTAAACATGTCCTCCACCCCTGTGTTCTACACATCCTCCATCCCTGTGTTCTACACGTACTTCACCCCCTGTGTTCTACACATCCTCCACCCCTGTCTTAAACATGTCCTCCACCCCTGTGTTCTACACATCCTCCACCCCTGTGTTCTACACGTCCTCCACCCCTGTGTTCTACACGTCCTCCACCCCTGTGTTCTACACATCCTCCTCCCCCTGTGTTCTACACATCCTCCACCCCTGTGTTCTACACATCCTCCATCCCCTGTGTTCTACACATCCTCCTCCCCCTGTGTTCTACATGTCCTGCACCCCTGTGTTCTACACATCCTCCACCCCTGTGTTCTACACATCCTCCACCCCTTGTGTTCTACACGTCCTCCACCCCCATGTTCTACACATCCTCCACCCCTGTGTTCTACACATCCTCCTCCCCCTGTGTTCTACATGTCCTCCACCCCTGTGTTCTACACATCCTCCTCCCCTGTGTTCTACATGTCCTCCACCCCTGTGTTCTACACATCCTCCACCCCTGTGTTCTACATGACCTCCACCCCCTGTGTTCTACATATCCTCCTCCACCTGTGTTCTACACATCCTCCTCCCCTGTGTTCTACACGTCCTCCACCCCTGTGTTCTACACGTCCTCCACCCCTGTGTTCTACACATCCTCCACCCCTGTGTTCTACACATCCTCCACCCCTGTGTTCTACACATCCTCCACCCCTGTGTTCTACACGTCCTCCACCCCTGTGTTCTACATGTCCTCCACCCCTGTGTTAAACACGTCCTCCACCCCTGTGTTAAACACGTCCTCCACCCCTGTGTTCTACACGTCCTCCACCCCTGTGTTCTACACGTCCTCCACCCCTGTGTTCTACACATCCTCCATCCCCTGTGTTCTACACGTCCCCCACCCCTGTGTTCTACACGTCCTCCACCCCCTGTGTTCTACACGTCCTCCACCCCCTGTGTTCTACACGTCCCCCACCCCTGTGTTCTACATGTCCTCCACCCCTGTGTTCTACACATCCTCCACCCCTGTGTTCTACACGTCCCCCACCCCTGTGTTCTACACATCCTCCACCCCTGTGTTCTACATTGTCCCCCACCCCTGTGTTCTACACGTCCTCCACCCCCTATGTTCTACATTGTCCCCCACCCCCTATGTTCTACATTGTCCCCCACCCCCTATGTTCTACATTGTCCCCCACCCCCTATGTTCTACATTGTCCCCCACCCCCTGTGTTCTACACATCCTCCACCCCTGTGTTCTACATTGTCCCCCACCCCCTGTGTTCTACACATCCTCCATCCCCTGTGTTCTACACGTCCCCCACCCCTGTGTTCTACACGTCCTCCACCCCTGTGTTCTACACATCCTCCATCCCCTGTGTTCTACACGTCCCCCACCCCTGTGTTCTACACGTCCTCCACCCCCTGTGTTCTACACGTCCTCCACCCCCTGTGTTCTACACGTCCCCCACCCCTGTGTTCTACATGTCCTCCACCCCTGTGTTCTACACATCCTCCACCCCTGTGTTCTACACGTCCCCCACCCCTGTGTTCTACACATCCTCCACCCCTGTGTTCTACATTGTCCCCCACCCCTGTGTTAAACACGTCCTCCACCCCTGTGTTCTACATGTCCCCCACCCCTGTGTTCTACACGTCCTCCACCCCCTATGTTCTACATTGTCCCCCACCCCCTATGTTCTACATGTCCCCCACCCCTGTGTTAAACACGTCCTCCACCCCTATGTTCTACATGTCCCCCACCCCCTATGTTCTACATTGTCCCCCACCCCTGTGTTCTACATGTCCTCCACCCCCTATGTTCTACATTGTCCCCCACCCCTGTGTTAAACACGTCCTCCACCCCTGTGTTCTACATGTCCCCCACCCCCTATGTTCTACATTGTCCCCCACCCCTGTGTTCTACATGTCCTCCACCCCCTATGTTCTACATTGTCCCCCACCCCTGTGTTAAACACATCCTCCTCCCCTGTGTTCTACATGTCCTCCACCCCTGTGTTCTACACATCCTCCACCCCTGTGTTCTACACATCCCCCACCCCTGTGTTCTACATGTCCTCCACCCCCTATGTTCTACATTGTCCCCCACCCCTGTGTTGTAGGTGTGGCCAGGCCTGACAGTGTTCCCAGACTTCTTCCACCCCAACAGTTCCGCGTGGTGGTACAGACAAGCTAAGATGTACCACGACCAGGTTCCCTATGACGGTCTCTGGGTGGTCAGTAGAACCTCTGAACTACATACATCTGGTCCTTTCAGTATTCAGAGCTGAACAAAATTCTGAAAAATATGAAACACTTAAGGCTTTATCAGTACTAAATCATGAAATGTACACTCATATTTTCACTGACATTTAAAGAAATGTATATATATAAAGAAAGAGTATCCACTGTACTCTATTGTCAAAGTAATTCTCTTGCAAACATCGTTAATGCAATGTCAATCATCATGGAACAGTTGTTCAATTTTTAGAAAATAATTTTTCTAAATACTATGCATTATTTTTTATTTCAAATGACCGGTCACTTTAAATTTTCTCTATTTTCCAGTGTAATTTCTGGTCAGTGTCTTTTGTATGAATTTATCTGTCAAAATAATATATGATAGATCATATAAATATGCCAATCTGACCAGATTCAAGATACTAAGCATCACAAAGAAAGATTTTGGTTAACATGTGTAAGCATTTCTCCCAGGACATGAATGAGCCGTCTAACTTCGTGACTGGCTCCATCACGGGCTGCACCAGCAACTCGCTAGACAACCCTCCCTTCGTCCCACCCAGTAAGTGCTGCCTTCATCAGTGGTGTACTCTGTGACATAATAAGGACTAAGTGACTAGAATGATACGATGCCGTGCTATAACTGATGATATCACATGCTTCCATGACAACAGAACTGCCTGGTTGTCAAGATCAACTAAATCAAAGTTTTTCTGACACTGTCAACTTCAAAAGGAAGCAGTAATTATGTTGCCTTGTTAAATACCATGTTTTTTAAATTTGGAACATGATAGCTATCAAGATAAACATTAATATGTAATACTTCATTGTAATTAATGTGAGGGGGATATTTTGACTCCATTGTTTCAATCCTGACAATAGTATCTTCAGAAAGTTACTGTCACAATAATAACATATACTGCCCTTAAATAGTTTTTGCACTCTTTCTTCAAAATCACCAGTTTCGTTTTTGCTTCAAGAACATCATTTATATTTCCTTGAAATCATCTGTACAGTGCCGCCCCCAACAGCTATTGATCATATAGCCTTGAAATCATCTGTACAATGTCTTTGCGCTATAAATTATATATTATCCTTGAAATGTGCCCCCACCCCAGCTATCGATTATATATCTTTGGAATCATCTTTGAAATCATCTGTACAATCCCCCCCACAGCTATCGATGGGTCCAGTCTGATGGCAGGGACGCTGTGTCCGTCAGCCAAACACAGCCTCTCCACCCACTACAACCTGCACAACATGTACGGGCTCAGTGAGATGAAGGTCACCAGCAGGTGAGGGGCGACTGCTGGCACTGTGTCCAGGCTCACATACTGTCCTGTAGGATAACACACTCTCTTATCACTGGTCACACACTGTCCTGTAGGATAACACACTCTCTTATCGCTGGACCGCCTCCGTGGTCTAATGGTAGAGCGTCCGCCCGGAAAGCGGAAGGTCCGGGGTTCGATCCCCAGCTGCGTTAAAAGATGGTACTTGTTGTTACACTGTCTGCCGCTCGGCATTAAGGGGCTAAAACAAGGACTGGTTTGCTCGGAGTCAGTATACTGTGTCTGAGTGGGATATTCATGTTAAACTGCGGCATGGTATCTCGGTGAGCTAGCAGTATAAATCGGCATCAGTCCGGACTAGTACAAGCAGCCACACACACACACATACACGTGCATGCATGTGGGGAATAACAGGCGAGTGAGCTTGCACATTTACTGTTTCATTCCTTCTTGGCCTTGGGTATCAAAGGGTTGTTTGGACAATAAATATCCATGAATTTCGCTTAAATGTCCTGTGCATGATGATACAATTGAGCAGAAAGGGAATTCACTCAACTGAAATATTGTGATCCCTCGACATTCTGTAGTAATAAAAGTAGTCCACCTTGGTGGACATGGCTAAAAGTTTTTCATTTATTGGGAAATGAACGCAATAACATGTGACCAATTCAGCTAATCAGAATGCATGAATTACAATGAACACAACTAATATTGAAATATTTCAACTTGTAATGGCAGATCTCTTCACATCAGGCTGGTGAATTTTAAGTTTTGGAGGTAGAGTTACTTAGAATGCATTCACTACACTGTTACAATAGTGCCTTCCCCTGGAGGATTCTGGGGGCACAGGTCGCCAAGCTGTGCAGAGTCCGCTGTGCCAGAAACCTATGATCGTGGGTTTGAATCCCTGATTATGTTTCAAGTTTTATCGGCACCATACCTGTGCTCAGGGTTTGGCCAAAGTGGTAAACGTCTAAGACGTGCATCACTTCAGGATTTCCTCCCATATCAAGCCATGGTATAACATGAATACGTACTGTTCAAAGTGGCGTTAAACCAAACTCACACCCTGGAGGGTTCTGGGGCAGAATAAATCCCAACACCAAAGATTGTTGAAACAGAACTGGATGGTTGCAATGTGCTTCCTGGTAAATTGTGTTTTGTAAGCTGACAGTATGGATGTTTGCTCATGATATCAACCATTGGTTTCCCTTGCCTAGAGTTGTTTGTCATGTACAAAACCCTGTGGGAATTCCGTGTTAGAATACGCCTCCAGTAACCCATGCTTGTCGTAAGAGGCGACCAGTGGATGCACACCCTTTTCTTGTTCACACTGTATCTTACACAGTCACATGTACAAAACCCTGTGGGAATTCCGTGTTAGAATACGCCTCCAGTAACCCACGCTTGTCGTAAGAGGTGACCAGTGGATCAGGTGGTCAGGCTCACTGACGTGGTTGATCATATGTCATTGTACCACAACGGTAAGTAGCGTTATATCCATCACTGGATTGTCTGAACCAGACTCAAATATTTACAGACTATGGTGATATTGCTGAAATATTGCTGAGTGTGGTGTTAAACAACAACGTGTACAATATGAATCAGACATGATGCTTCCTTTCCAGTGTGTTGAAGAAGCTGCTGAACAAGCGTAGTATCGTGTTGTCTCGGTCAACATACCCCAGCGCAGGCGTGTACGGCAGCCACTGGCTGGGAGACAACCTCTCCAGCTGGGTCGACCTGTACTACTCCATCCCAGGTAAGTTCTGCATGCGGAGCCCAAGAGTGGGGTGCAGGAGTTTGCATCCCCTTGTTGGAAGCCTTGTAACATTTATACATGGGATAGCCCTGTTATCATCCAAAACTGGCTCCCACAGGAGATATCAATTGGATTAGATCAAGCGATATCTACACTGTAGATATCGCTGCAATGAAATTACATCACAATGCTTTGCAGACCATTGTGACATCACTGGTTACCATGATGTCACAATCAAATGACATCACTAATGGCTCTGCTACTGAAGCTGTTAGCAGTACTTTTTACACTGAAGACACTGCTAATTACTGTCTACAAATTGAAAAAGTTGGAAGAATGATGTTGGATGATAAATAAAATCTCACCCTCGTGTCTTATGATATCAAATATATCAACACTTGTTGATAAAAGTGGCAAAAGTCATCGGCAAGCCTCGGAATTTTTCCACTTTTATCAACTCGTGTTGATATATTTGATATCAAAAGACACTCGGGTGAGATTCTCTATGTTATTGGGAATCATGGTAAGAACGTAGGCCCCCAGCAGGTTATCCTGGTCTTGAGAGGCGACTAACTGGATCAGAGCAGGTGTACTTAGTTAATTGTATGTCATTGTGTCCCACTGTGGATTGATGCTCATGTTGTCAATCACTGGATTGTCTAGTCCAGACTTGATTATTGACGGCCCACTGTTTTGTACCTGGAATAGTGCCGAGTGCAGCATTAAAGAAACATGGCAGACTAAATGTAAACCTATTACTTCACTACAACTAAATCATTAGTTGACATGTTTCAGGGGGCACAGGTGATACTGTCTGCTGAGATACCACAAATCACTGTGAAGAATTGTGTCCCATTGTCATGCCAGAATCTGCCCATCATGACTTCGCAATCCCAGATTAAAGCTATTTTCTTGTCATATTACAAGTAATTTGATCACATTCCAGGTATTTTGATCACATTCCAGATATTTTGATCACATTCCAGGTATTTTGATTGTATTCAAGGTATTTTGATCATATTCAAGGTATTTTGATCAAATTACAATTAATTTGATCATATTCCAGGTATTTTGATCATATTAAAAGTAATTTGATCATACTCAAGGTATTTTGATCATACTCAAGGTATTTTGATCATATTTAATGTATTTTGATCATATTCCAGGTATTTTGATCATATTACAATAATTTGATCATATTGCAGGTATTTTGATCATATTGCAGGTATTTTGATCATATTCAAATTATTTTGTTCATTTTGCAGGTATCATGATACAAATTTCAGGTATTTTGATCATATTCCAGGTATTTTGTTCATGTTGCCGGTATTTGTTCATATTCCAGGTATTTTGATCCTGTTCCAGGTATTTTGAACTTCCAAATGTTTGGAATCCCTTTTGTTGGTGTCGACATCTGTGGTTTTCGTGGTGACACCAATGCAGAGCTGTGTACTCGGTGGATGCAGGTTGGAGCTTTCTACCCCTTCATGCGGAACCACAACAGTGGGAAGAAGGTACGGCACCTGGTGGATGTAACACGCTGTGTGGTGGAGCTGGAGCTAGGTGGATCTGAATATTCCTGAAGCAGGAGATGCTTCTAACATTACAATAATGGAGATGTACAGCAGCCATATTTAAGATTCAGTTTCTGACATCTTCTGACCTGAGGGCCAAGGAATGCCCTATCATCAATTTGCTGTGCAGAGTTACGTACCTTGGGCACTTCAGAAACCTGTGTTTGTGGGTTCGAATCCTAGTTGGCCCTGATTATGTTTCTAGGTTTGTCAGCACCATAGCTCGTGGGTTTCATTTCAGACTTTCCCCTCACAATAAGGTGTCAAGCCATGATATAACTTAAATGCTGTTCAAAGTTGCCTTAAACTTCACTCACTCACTCACTCACTCACTCACTCACTCACTCACTCACTTGACCCATACTTGCCGTAAAAGGCGACTATGCTTGTCGTAAAAGGCGACTAACAGGATCGGGTGGTCAGGTTCGCTGACTTGATTGATACAAGTCATCGCTCCCAATTGCGTGGATCGATGCTCATGATGTCAATCACTGGATTGTCTGGTCCAGACTCGATTATTTACAGACCGCAGTCATATAGCTGGAATATTGCTGAGTGCGGCGTTAAACAACAAACCAACCAACCAACCCTTCATGGAGGGCTACAGTTTGAATCACCATCAAGGTCACACGGCCATGTTTTCCCCCGCAGGACCAGGACCCCGCATCATTTGACGCTAACACGCAGGCCATCATGAGGTCGGTGCTGGAGACACGGTACCGCCTGCTGCCCCTACTCTACACCCTCCTCTACCGCAGCCACGTCGACGGGGGCCCTGTGGCCCGCCCATTGCTCTTCCAGTCAGTACCACTAATATCTCGACAAAACATCTTTCAGAAAATCAATACAGACCATAACACAAGTTTGATATTTTTTCTTGCTTAGTGAAGATGATTTGTTAACATAAATTCTTTGTGGTGGGATGTGAGGTTTGATAAGCTTTAAAAGCAAAGTCATAAAAGATCACCTGTTTCTGTCAGTGGTCTTCCATATCAATATCTGATAGCTCTGGTTTGGAGGATGACAAGTATCGACAGCATATAAGAGCCACTGACTGGACCATTGCAGGTATCCTGAGGCTGTGGCAGTAGACAAGCAGTTCCTGTGGGGGTCAGCCCTGCTCATCTCACCTGTGTTGGAACAGGTGCGTAGTCAAACATACTCATTTCACCAGTTTGGTAGTCAAACATACTCATTTCACCAGTTTGGTAGTCAAACATACTCATTTCACCAGTTTGGTAGTCAAACATACTCATTTCACCAGGTTGGTAATCAAGCAAACTGATCTCACCAGGTTGGTAGTCAAACAATCATTTCACTGGCTGGGTAGTCAAACATACTCATCTCACCAGCTTGGTAGTCAAACATACTCATCTCACCTGAGGTGAGTAGTCAAACTTGCTGTTATCACCAGCAGGGTAGTGGGCCCTATGCTAGGGCATGGCTTATGACATGTAGTCTTAGATTTGTTTGTGGTTTGGTCTGAAGCATGCAGTATCTCACCTCAGCCTCCTATAGTTACAGATAGAAGACAGACTGTGACGTATCTGTGCTGATTGTAGGGAGCTGTAACCGTGCAGGCCTACATTCCGGGCGATGTCTGGTATGACTACTACAACATGTCACAGGTGTCCACTGTGGGTCAGAGTGTGCTACTGGACGCCCCCATCGACAAGATCAACCTGCACGTACGAGGAGGGTCCGTGATCCCCACCAAGCCAGCTGCTGTCACCACCGACCAGATGTGAGTCTCGGGCATTCCGAGTGAGGGTGTCCTGCTTTGTCTCTGCCATAACCAGTAGTACAGCCATGTCAGCTACCGTATTCGACGTGATAAGCGCCCAGGGCACTCTCAAAATTAGAAATAGGGGGCTGTTATTAGAATAATATTTTGGTGAAAAAAACAGAGTTGAAAGATAAATTTCGTGGTTTATGCTGACAGCCTAAAATGTTTATATACGACAGATATATTTTTCCAGAATTTGATTGCCCATAATTAAGGGATTTTCTGAGAAAATATTGCTTTTTTCATGTTTTGAACTTAGAAATATGTTGCAGTTGAAGTTGTGGGTATTAGTGAATCCTGCTCACTTTTTGTCTTGTTACATTTGCCATGATGACTGTTTCTTGGTTTTACAAGTTATTACAGTTTTTCAATCGTTATTAAATGTCGTTTCAGCATTAACATGATTAAGTCAAGACTGTCAGAGGAATGAAATGGGCAATGAAGTTGTCGAGAATTAATTTCTTCGTTGCCTCGTTTAATCAGCCATTTAGTATACAAAGATTATTTAATTAAGAATGATATGGCTTAATTTGTCCAGTGCCTTATATTCCAAAATTGTGGGGTGGTGGGGTAGTCTAAGGTGATGTGTTTGATCATCCCACTTGCAAGTCATGTTCGAACCCAGACATTGGAACAATGTGTCAAGCCCGTCCATGGTGACAGCTGCCTTGATATTGCTAGAATATTGCTGAAACTGGCATAAAACCATACTCACTCACTCATTCCACTTTTATAGAAGAGCCAGGTTTGTTATGACTATGAGAAAGAGTCAGCTTCCATTGTTCAAGTTCCTTTCACTGTTTGATTAATTCCCATAATTATTTAAGAAACATCCTTATTTCAAATACCGTATTCGACGTAATAAGCGCCCAGGGTGCTCTCAAAATAAGAAATAGGGGTCTCTTATTAGAACATCATTTTGGTGGGAAAAAAACAGAGTTGAAACATACGTAAATTTCGTGGTTTATGCTGATAGCCAGAAATGTTTATGTACGACAGATATTTTTTTCCAGAATTTAATTGCCCATAATTAAGGGTGCATATAACACACGAGTATGTATCATACGCGAATAATAAGTCTTGTGTACATTGATCAATCGGAAGCGGTGCTTACTGGGATTGTTCACTAGCCAATATATCAGCAAATATTGCCGTGGGTGCTTATTAGAGCGGGGCGCTTATTACGTCAAATACGGTATATGCTGGATAACAGAATATTTCATGAGACTAAATGACAATACCAGTTGAGCACAGCCTTGTTTGTTGTGTTACAAATATCACATGTAAAGATATTATGTGTTTCCTTTTAAGGCGTGGAGAGATGTTTGCTCTGCTGGTTGCCCTTGACGGCAACGGAACGGCATCCGGAGAAGTCTTCTGGGATGATGGTGAAACTCTAGGTAAGTTCAGCATTCATCAAAGTTGCCAACAAAATGTGGCTCTTTCAGACCAGTAGTTTCTCTGCTTGCTGTGTTACTATTATTGTCAATATCTCATCTTTTCTCACCCACAGACACAGTTGAAAACAACCAGTACAGTCTTGTAACCTTCTCAGTGCAGTCTGTGAGTATACATCAACGTGTCAGTACAATCTGTGAGGGTATGTGTGTATATCAAAGTCTCAGGACAATCTGTGGGTGTATATCAAAGTCTCAGTACAATCTGTGGGAGTATATCAAAGTCAAAGTACAATCCGCTGGTGTATATCAAAGTCCAATCTGCTGGTGTATATCAGAGTCTCAGTACAATCTGCTGGTGTATATCAGAGTCTCAGTACAATCTGCTGGTGTATATCAGAGTTTCCGTACAATCTGTGAGTATATCAAAGTCTCAGTACAATCTGTGAGTGTATATCAAAGTCTCAGTACAATCTGTGGGTGTATATCAGAATCTCAATACAATCTGTGGGTGTATATCAAAGTCTCACTACAATCTGTGGGTGTATATCAGAGTCTCCGTACAATCTGTGAGTATATCAAAGTCTCAGTACAATCTGTGGGTGTATATCAGAGTCTCCGTACAATCTGTGAGTGTATATCAAAGTCTCAGTACAATCTGTGAGTGTATATCAAAGTCTCAGTACAATCTGTGGGTGTATATCAGAATCTCACTACAATCTGTGGGTGTATATCAAAGTCTCACTACAATCTGTGGGTGTATATCAGAGTCTCACTACAATCTGTGAGTATATCAAAGTCTCAGTACAATCTGTGGGTGTATATCAGAGTCTCCGTACAATCTGTGAGTATATCAAAGTCTCACTACAATCTGTGGGTGTATATCAAAGTCTCAGTACAATCTGTGGGTGTATATCAGAGTCTCCGTACAATCTGTGAGTGTATATCAAAGTCTCAGTACAATCTGTGAGTATATCAGAGTCTCAGTACAATCTGTGGGTGTATATCAAAGTCTCAGTACAATCTGTGGGTGTATATCAGAGTCTCCGTACAATCTGTGAGTATATCAAAGTCTCAGTACAATCTGTGAGTATATCAGAGTCTCCGTACAATCTGTGAGTATATCAAAGTCTCAGTACAATCTGTGGGTGTATATCAAAGTCTCACTACAATCTGTGAGTAAATCAAAGTCTCACTACAATCTGTGAGTATATCAAAGTCTCAGTACAATCTGTGAGTATATCAAAGTCTCAGTACAATCTGTGAGTATATCAGAGTCTCAGTACAATCTGTGAGTGTATGTCAAAGTCTCAGTACAATCTGTGGGTATATCAAAGTCTCAGTACAATCTGTGAGTATATCAGAGTCTCAGTACAATCTGTGAGTGTATATCAAAGTCTCAGTACAATCTGTGGGTGTATATCAGAGTCTCCGTACAATCTGTGAGTATATCAAAGTCTCAGTACAATCTGTGGGTGTATATCAGAGTCTCCGTACAATCTGTGGGTGTATATCAAAGTCTCACTACAATCTGTGGGTGTATATCAAAGTCTCAGTACAATCTGCTGGTGTATATCAAAGTCTCCGTACAATCTGTGAGTGTATATCAAAGTCTCAGTACAATCTGTGGGTGTATATCAAAGTCTCAGTACAATCTGTGGGTGTATATCAGAGTCTCCGTACAATCTGTGAGTATATCAAAGTCTCAGTACAATCTGTGAGTGTATGTCAAAGTCTCAGTACAATCTGTGAGTGTATGTCAAAGTCTCAGTACAATCTGTGGGTGTATATCAAAGTCTCCGTACAATCTGTGAGTATATCAAAGTCTCAGTACAATCTGTGGGTGTATATCAGAGTCTCCGTACAATCTGTGAGTATGTCAAAGTCTCAGTACAATCTGTGAGTGTATGTCAAAGTCTCAGTACAATCTGTGGGTGTATATCAAAGTCTCCGTACAATCTGTGAGTATGTCAAAGTCTCACTACAATCTGTGGGTGTATATCAGAGTCTCCGTACAATCTGTGAGTATATCAAAGTCTCAGTACAATCTGTGGGTGTATATCAGAGTCTCCATACAATCTGTGGGTGTATATCAAAGTCTCACTACAATCTGTGGGTGTATATCAAAGTCTCAGTACAATCTGCTGGTGTATATCAAAGTCTCAGTACAATCTGTGAGTGTATATCAAAGTCTCAGTACAATCTGTGGGTGTATATCAAAGTCTCAGTACAATCTGTGGGTGTATATCAGAGTCTCCGTACAATCTGTGAGTATATCAAAGTCTCACTACAATCTGTGAGTGTATGTCAAAGTCTCAGTACAATCTGTGAGTGTATATGAAAGTCTCAGTACAATCTGTGGGTGTATATCAGAGTCTCCGTACAATCTGTGGGTGTATATCAAAGTCTCACTACAATCTGTGGGTGTATATCAAAGTCTCAGTACAATCTGCTGGTGTATATCAAAGTCTCAGTACAATCTGTGAGTGTATATCAAAGTCTCACTACAATCTGTGGGTGTATATCAAAGTCTCAGTACAATCTGTGGGTGTATATCAGAGTCTCCGTACAATCTGTGAGTATATCAAAGTCTCACTACAATCTGTGAGTGTATGTCAAAGTCTCAGTACAATCTGTGAGTGTATGTCAAAGTCTCAGTACAATCTGTGAGTATATCAAAGTCTCAGTACAATCTGTGGGTGTATATCAGAGTCTCCGTACAATCTGTGAGTATATCAAAGTCTCAGTACAATCTGTGAGTGTATATCAAAGTCTCAGTACAATCTGTGGGTGTATATCAGAGTCTCCGTACAATCTGTGAGTATATCAAAGTCTCAGTACAATCTGTGAGTGTATATCAAAGTCTCAGTACAATCTGTGAGTATATCAAAGTCTCAGTACAATCTGTGAGTGTATGTCAAAGTCTCAGTACAATCTGTGGGTGTATATCAAAGTCTCAGTACAATCTGTGGGTGTATATCAGAGTCTCCGTACAATCTGTGAGTATATCAAAGTCTCAGTACAATCTGTGAGTGTATGTCAAAGTCTCAGTACAATCTGTGGGTGTATATCAGAGTCTCCGTACAATCTGCTGGTGTATATCCTGGCCTACTGAGATGGTCCTTCCTCCTGATGAGAGCTGTATCTCATTGAACAGAACACCCTGAGTAACAGAGTGGTGGCCTCTAACTACACGCATGGTGTGGAGACCTCGCTCAGTGGGGTCACAGTCCTCGGGGTTCCCGCCAAGCCTGGCTCGGTCACAGTCAATGGGAAAGGAGCGGCATTCACATATGATGACAAGTCAAGAGTAAGTTGTGAAATCTGTTCAGAACATGAAACAAACATCAGTTCTGCCCCTCTATTGGGCAACCATTGTCTACATTTGACAGCCATGATGAAGCTGCTTAAGTGGCTACCCCTCGTGACAACTTATTGATGGCTCTTGTGTATACAACACACGCACATACACACGCACCTATTTTTAGAATTCAGATTTAGAAATCTTGCATACAATGGCAGTCTAACATTCCATAGTTTTGCTTCAGATGACATCGAGTGATTTGTAGTTAAAACCTCAAAAATAGTAAATAGAACGTTTTGCAACAAAGATTTCTAGACATGGCTTTTCATAACATTATTCTATTTTGTGTTACAGTGGGCCACATTTTTTAAACACTGTGATAAATATATTTGTGTGTGACTTTCCGGCTCAATAACCCAGAAATAGTACCGGTGATCATTTGACATATGCTGGACCTCGTGCTTTTCTGGTGATGCAGTTAGCAATCCCCCATGTCCTTACTTCAGTGATTTAAAAAATTAATAATTGAGAGAAAATTAAATCTGTCTTCAGTACAGTACTTTGGTTTATCAACAGTTGGCTTTTACACAGTTTGATGAGTATATTGCTTTTGACAACCAAGAAAATAACTTTAGGAGACAAATGGCTACCAAGGAAAAAAAAAAACTTTGAAGGGTGATGTTCATCTTCCCAAGGCAAGAGAGTTAACTGACTATAAAAGTCGAACTAGACTGGAATTACTGGGCTCGATCGTAGCGCCACCAGTGGCTATTACCAGTTATGTCCCTTCTAAGCCTCTCCTATGGACCAATCAGATTCCACCTCTCGTATCACTTGCGTTTGCTTCACACAAAATGGTGGCGCCCAGACAAAACGATCTGATCAATAATCAAGATCTATATTGTGATAAAACTGGTCTTGCATCGCGAAATGCATCAAATCATGTGAGCATCTTGATTAAAAACATGAAAAGATTTTGAAAATATCTGCTGATAACGAGTTGGCGGTGCACATGCTTTGCAAATCCTGCAATCGATCAAAATCTGCATGACAGTTTCCAAACCGGATTACGATTTCAGTGCACAAATTTGATTGGACTATGCACAGACTCATTATTCCAGCCAAAATGTAACTCCATAATACCAGCCTAGTTTGGAATGGGAGGAAACTGGACTTTTATAGTCCGTTAACTCATTTGCCTCGGGAAGATGTTTGATGTTAAGACAGATTCTTTTAACTAGTATAACAAATATAGCATAAAAGGAAAACTAATGGATTATATGGTCTCAGGGACTGGTCATTCATTATAGGGGAGGGAGGGGAGGGGGAGGGGTTTGCGATGTGAGATTTTTGGGTAGGGTGAGTGTCATGAAAAAATGACACAGCAAAATAAGTGGTGTTGCAGTTATGTGGGAGGGCCATTGAAAAAATGACACTTATGATTTTTAAAATAGAAAGGTTATGAATTTGAACATTTTTTAGAGACCGGTCATTTATTATAGGGAGAGGGTGTCATGAAAAAATGACAGCGAAAGAAGTGGGGTCACGAAAATGGCTCACAGTTATATGGTAGGGTCATGAAAAGATGACATTTATATTTTTTCAAATATAAAGGTTAGGAATTTGAAAATTGTTTAAGGATCGGACATTTATGATAGGAAGGGGGTGTCATGAAAAAATGTAACATGTATTTGGGGGACCATGAAAGAAATGTTGCATGTTACAATGTTAAATAGTGGAGGAGGGGAAAGGATTCCCGCCACACGCCATAATAAATGAACAATCTTGAAGTTACCAATGTCACAAGTTTAACATTCACAAGTCTGTCCCATCAACGACATGCAATTGTAAATATGTTCACTATTTGTTGTCTTGCAGGTTCTCACCATAGCAAGCCTGACTGTAGACTTGCTTCAACCCCTGTCAATCAAGTGGTGAAATCAACGTACACCATACCTTATTACATCCCTGGTAAACTATTGATATTGACTTATTGTGTTGCAAAGGGTGAAATTTACGTCTTATGGGTAACAGAGAGAATATAGACTCAAAATACACCATTCTCGAGTTACTATCTATGTGCTTCAAGTGAAGTTAGTGCCATGGTAACCCAGTCTCATGTTTCACTGCTTACTGTATATATAAGGCTTCTGTGATCCTGTGACCAGATGTACTGTACTTCGAACAATGTTTGGCATATCTAAAGCAGGCTTAGAACTTCTGTCAATGGTTTTATTTAAGGGTCAGAGCTCCAGATAACTTTTTGAGCAATTGAGTTTTTACTCTAGGGTTTCTATTTTAATTGGGTTATTACATTTTTCATTGGGTAACCAATATTTTTTCACTCATCTATTCATCACTCTATTGGCTTTTTCCCAAAATTAGCGGACATTTTAAGATTTTAAAAAAATGAAATAATGTATATAATTGTTCCAAATATATAAATTAGCTCGTAATTGTCTTTCAGAAATTAGCTCCTTTGTACACATGCTGGAAAAGCTTCATTGGGTATTTAAGAGTGCTGTTTTAATATATTTGAGTTTTTCTTTGTATGCAAGTTAATTGAAAGTAATTGCATGGGTTTTGAATATTTTTAGGGGGTATTTTACGCTGCTGTAGCTCTGAGGGTGATGATTCAATTCTAGAAGTTTCAAATATCTCCTGTTTTATATGGAAAGACAAATTTCCAAAATCAGATATTTGTTGCCTTGTATATGTTAAAGAATAGGACAACCTCAGTGCAGTAACAGATGGCTGAAAGGAAGTGGTGTCTCAAAGACAGGCCTGTTGACCTATGTAGGGTAGAGTTCTGTCAGTGTGGAGGTACTGAAATCAGTATTGACAGCAGTGGCACACATCAATATATGAGGGTGGTAGCCTTACTGTTAAAGTCATTTGTGGTCATTGTTTTTTTGTTTTATTTTTACTTAAGTGTGAAAGATTGAGTTTTCCGAAGTTGATAAAAGTTATATTTTCATTGCAGTCAAAATAACACTTGATTTTTCACTGCAGTGAACATAACACTTTGACGGAACTCGAGAGTGACCTCCCCTCAAATTGTCTCCCTTTATCGTAACTGTCTGGCCCTTACACAAACTGTTGAAATCCTTTTTACGTACGGTCCACATTGACAAGGCAAAATAATGACAGGTGGTGACTTATGGAGTTAACAACACTGCATGCTGTGTGTTTTTCTCTTGAAAATGTTTTGTTATAAACTGTAAATTTCTCACTAACTCATCAGTCAAGACTGTTCGTTTCGCAAGGCACCATTTTTGTAATTTGACCAGCTTGTATTCTTTGCTTTCAACAGCGGTTTCATAGTTTTCAAGTATATTATTTGTTAAAGTTGATTTTGTATATAATCATATCTATGTGTATGATACAGATATTTTGTGACCGTAAAATATTTTTTGTAACTGTTGTTTATATTTTTTAAAGATTTGGCAAACACGAAACTAATTTTTTATTCGCAAATACAAGGGGTGTTGAACCGTCCCTGTGTGTTAAGTAGCGAGAATTTACGTTTCAAGGTTTTACATTTGTACTGAAATAATTTATTTTTCCGGTAGACAACTACAGAAAAAATGTAAGAAAAATAAGACATTCCATGTGTCTTGTGAAATATCATGTTTCTCTCATCTGGTGACAGGGAAAAGGAGATATTATCACACGAGGCAACACCACATGTGAAAATATCTCCTCTCCCCCGCTACTCGATGAGAGAAACATGATATTTCACTCGACACTTGAAATATCCTCTATATATTGAGCCTGTGTGGAGAACTGGGCATCAATCAGAATTAAGATAACCTCATTTCAGCTACTTAAGACTTCTGTGATTGTTGGACCTCGAAAGGATGTCCTAAGATAGTGTTCGGGGTAGTGTTCCACAAAGCGACCAGCAATGACTGTCCTATGTCAGTGTTCAGTGTGGGCGTTTTCATCGTCTTGGAGGAACAGACCCAGATGACAAAGTGGGATAAAATCACCATAGTTAGGCTAAAAAAAGTAATAGTCTTAGTTTTCAGGCACTGCCTGCATCATCATAAAGTCTGCCGCACGTTTCTTTTTTATTTCCATTTTCAAAAAATTAACAATCTTTACATATTCCGCGTCTCGAACACATGACCATGGCAGTGAAATGCTACAATACTTAAGAACAATGTGATTTAGCCAAAATTATTGTAAACAAATTTTGGTTACATACTAGCTTGAACATCAATAAAAAAAATTCCACCGCCTGCACTATATTTTCAAAACCCATTGCCTGAGAACCAACTCTTTTATATTTTTAAGCCTTATTTGTTTTAGCTCAGCATGGAAGCTTTGTGTGAAGCAGTGGTATTCCTTATGATATTTCTGTTTTAGTGGCTAAGCTATGCAACGTACATCACACGGACAGGTAAAAAACAAGTTGGCATCTTACATCAGTGGTCATCTCCCACAACCTTAATAACTTAGTTTGCTGTCAAATAAGTATGTCACAAAATGTTTTGTCTGTGAGATGAACCATGAACTGTTTTTTATTATTGTTTATTTGAATACATTTACTCTTGTCAGATCTTGTGTTGAGGTGAGGTGAAATGGGGTTTAACGTCGCGTCCAAGATTATTGCACTTATATAGCGACGTGCATGTACGTGTGTGTGTTTGTGTGGCTGCTTGTACTAGTCCGGACCGATGCCGATTTATAGTGCTAGCTCACTGAAATACCATGCCGCATGAATATCCCACTCACACAGTATACTGACTCCAAGCCGACCAGTCCTTGTTTTAGCCCCTTAATGACGGGCGCCAAACAGGGTAACAACAAGTACCATCTTTTAACGTCTTTTGGTTTGATGCGGCCGGGGATTGAACCCCTGACCTTCCACTCTCCGAGCGGACGCTCTACCACTAGACCGAGGAGGCGGTCTTGTGTTAAAGTTGTGTACTTTGATTCAAGGTAGACAGGGTTAGCTGTGTGATGGACAATTTAATTTGTTGTTTTCTGCTGTAGAAGTTTTAGCATGTAGAAGTGTAGGGAGGACAGCACATGAACACAAAGACCTTATAACCAGGTGGGTGTTCCTCTACTGTTAGAAGCAGGACCTTATCCCATTCCTATAGCTACTGATAACAAACACAACACATACCCGTGACTTTCATGCAATAGATAACATTACACCCAGATATACCCAACAACTTAAAAGAACTGATATGTTCTGCTTTGGGTAAAGTTCAGGAAGTGACACATCCTCACTGACCACTACTTACCAATGTATCAGCACTTGAAGACATACAATTCTTTTCTCTGCCAGGAACAGTTTTATGTTTAGTAAAATAATTGTCCAAATTATATTTTCCCTGCATTTTTGGGAACAGATTATTTTCTTAAAAGCTACAAATGGTAATATTTTTCTTTAACTTCTATTTCTTCAAACTTTAGAATGGATGTTTCCAAATACAAGTTAAAGAAATGTCTTATTTGAAGACATATAGGTAAGCTCTTCTATTTGAAAGCCACATGAGTGTAGACTGGTGACCAGCGTCAAGCAGTGCAGAGTGGAGAATACTTGACTTGTCAATCAGAGGTTTCAAATGACATTAACGTGATGAGAAGAGGAATACCGGTACATCAGCCGATTTGCATTTGGCATAGGAGATCTGTTTGCCTTTGGCACAGGAGACCTATTTGCACTTGGCATAGGAGACCTATTTGCACTTGGCATGGGAGACCTAATTGCACTTGGCACATGAGATCTATTTGCCTTTGGAATAGGAGATCTATTTGCACTTGGCACACAAGATCTATTTGCATTTGGCATAAGAGATCTATTTGCCTTTGGCATAGGAGATCTATTTGCCTTTGGCATAGGAGACCTATTTGCACTTGGCATAGGAGACCTAATTGCACTTGGCACATGAGATCTATTTGCCTTTGGAATAGGAGATCTATTTGCACTTGGCGTACGAGATCTATTTGCATTTGGCATAGGAGATCAGTGTATTTGCACTTCGCATAGGAGACCCATACAAATTGGTGCATGGGGAAATGGCCAGATTACAGATGAAAGCTTTAATGTTGTACGACCCCTGCTGATTACATTACATGGAGTTCATCATCTTTGAGCAGATGATAAAGAGATTAGTTTGTGAGTGGTGTGTGACCATTAATATACTACTGATGAGGGAAATGGTTCAAATTGTTGTATAGACATTTGTTTGGGTACTCCATTCCAGTATTTATAAAACTTAATGCAGAATTTGTTTCCTACGCTTGTATATGCAAAAAAACTATGGACTGAAGCCTAGCACCATATAGAAATGCTTATAGTCCAAGACTAGTTTGCAAACACAACACACAAAGACAATAGTATCTGGTTCAAGTATTTACTCAATTCTTCTTTCCCGGATCTCTTTAATCAATAACTCTTTCCCGGATCTCAAGGTGAATGTAACTCACTATATGCTGGATAAACAGTTCCTCACGACTATTGTGACCTGTGTATCACTGTGTATCACTGTGAGGGTAACAGGTAGTTCCAACTTTAAAATGGTATCATCTTGCATTCATTCTGTTGTTTCATTACAAGGATACCCCACTGAGCGAGTCTACCTATTTTCCACAAATAGTTGTCTTGACTGCACACAAATAAAATGCAGTGAATTGTTATGATCTTTTCTTGTCTTCATGTCAGAATGAAGATAAAAAATAAATTTCAATGAAAGCCATGCTACATGTTGATTTAATAGCACTACCCGGTAACTTCAATATTTGAAACCTCATGCTGTATGTAAGGTTTCAAGTTCAACTTCGAGCTATTCAATCTACATATAACATACCTGGAAAACATTCCTATTGCATAGTGTTGATGCGTGTGCTTTTTAACAACGATATTATTTACAAATGGCAACGATCCAGCAATATGACTATTTACACGGAAGTGCATGTGTATTTGCCGACTTCATGTACAAGCACTAATCAATATAGAAGACTGCTTTTTATCTGATGCAATATGTATTATGATAGCGTTTGTTTTTTATGATGTTTTACATTGCTATTCACCTTTACTTTTGTATTGATTGTTCAGCATTACCAAACAGTATATGACCATGTGTGTACTCGCATGTTTGCTTATTGATGTATATGGTTGGAATAAACTATTGCATATCATACGTTCTATCTTGTTGTTATTGACATGACTATAACTGGGATTTGTTATCAACTATGGAGATGAAACTTTCATTGCAAGAGACCAACTCTTAAAGTGAGTGTTTTCAGACCTAACATGGTTGATAATGTCTCAAACCAATGATCAGGGTGGTACTGGTAAACTAAGGATCATCATCTGCCCATTTCCAGAATTTGAATCCATTATCAATGAATCCTTGCACAACTAATGGACTGAACTAGCATGGCAGTATGTCAGACACCAGACACACCTGTGCCCATAGGAGATAGATGTCAGTGTCTGCAAAGCCTTGGAACACTTGGCACATCAGTGCTCCTCACGGGACCCATAGATGTCCGTGTCATGAGAGCGGTGGGGTAGTCTGGTGGTTAAAGTGGTCGCTCGTCATGTCAAATGCCCAGGTTCGATTCCTGACATGGGTACAATGTGTGAAGACCATTTCCTTTGTCCCCCATGTAAGCTATATTCATTCACTCACTCACTCACTCACTCACTGATGTTCCTGGCCCCCCTTCTGTTGTCAACAGGCTGTCTGGTTGTCTGCACATTCACTCACTCAGTGTTAGACTTCTTGTATCTGTTAGTTCCATGTTTTCTAGAAACACAATACACATTTCAAATCCAGTTCGCTTCCTTTCCTCTTCAACAACTAATCTGAGGAATGTTATTGTTTTATGCTGTATAAGCCCTGTGAGTGAGTGAGTATGGTTTAACGCTGCTTTTAGCAATATTCCAGCAATATCACGGCGGGGGACACCACAAATAGGCTTCACACATTGTACCCATGTCGGGAATCGAACCCAGGTCTTCGGCATGACGAGCGAACGCTTTAACCACTAGGCTACCCGACCGCCCTTTATGAGCCCTGGGGGAAGAATAGGTCACCAAATCCTGGACCATAGTGCATATTTCATCTTCGTGCATATTATATATTCGCCCGTGAAGAGATCATCCATTTAATAAACATACAGCTGTATTACACATTGAGTAATACCAAAGCATGTGTTTATGTACATCGGGATCAAGTCAAGTTAATGCTTTATGAATGACATTGCGTGAAGTATGTTAGATCACGGAGAGGAGATCATGCATGCACGATGACCCCAGCATCCCGGTTGCTAGGCTGACGTTACATGGCATTGTTTCACTGGTGGATCTTGAAACAAAATTCTACAAATTATGTCATAGGGCAGTGTGACGTGATTGTAAACTTTGTGGTGCAGGGCCCCCTTCCACAAGGCGATCGTAGCACAATGACAGTCGTAATTCTATGTTAAAAATGGGAGTTGCGATAAGTTTAGCACTACGACAGCTTTGTGGAACAAACTCTTGGACCATTATATGGTATTAAATTCATAATAAACTAATTAATAATCAACTTTTGAAGTGTAAAACTCAGTTGGAGTAAGCTGTGGATTGGCTGCACGTTCACACACGACAGTAAAAAAAATAAATTCATAAACAAGTTATGATAAAATACTAAACTCGCTCCACGTACTACCAAGTTTATGAAGCAAAAAGCTGCTTTTTCCGAGTAAATGAAAGTCATGTGACAGCGCAAGCTACCCTCAGCTCAATCAAACAGCTGTATTCTATCAATTTTGAATTGGTTTGAATTCTTTTACAATGTCATATTAAAACATGTCGGTAAGATAAATTTGTTGGAGCCAGAGGCCTATGGCATGAAACCTAACAAGGGATGCATAAAACCCCATGTACCCCTTGTGATCCTGCTACAACTTATAATATTCCTCTTTTAACACTTGATGAAACTAAACAAGATTAGATTACAGAATACTCCGCAAACAGAACTGAACACTGCCCTAGAATCAGTTTATACAAACTAAGAATGGATTTCATTTGAAGGCCAGAAAGGCTTGGGCGTTTCCTACCCATGTTGAGGGTGAACCAATGGGTGACAAGCTCCCACAATAACCATGGTGATACTGCATCTGTTCAGATCATTCACAGCCATTACCGAACAGTTCACAAAAGATTAAAACGTGTGAATTGTATCAATAGTTTATTGAACTATTTACAATATTCTAACATGAGGGCAACTAAGTCCTTGTGAATTTGTTTTAATTACGCTTCAGATATTTTTTTTCACTCGTTTTCTTCAAAAGTCAAATCTTAGCATTAATCAGACATAAATCTGTACCATTTAGAAGTTTTGCCTATTACTGAGAGCACCATTTAAATTGTTATTGGATCATGATCAGCTGTAGATGCAAGTTTTGCTCAACGAAAATAAAAATGGGACACTAAATCTCTCCAAATAAGGCAGTTTTGAAACGGTATCAAGTCAGAGAAGAAGCTTAGTTAGTACGAAGAAAATAAGTTGAAAATGTCAGTGAGTGTTGTTAGTGACACTGAAGTAATATGTCAAAGAGGATTCTGTGATTTGTCTTCAGGTTACCCTATAGAAAAACACACTTAGAGACAAAGATTGAAGTCTTAAGGTTCAGCACTAGTTCACATCACACTTCCGCAGTGAGTCCTTGTCATTGAAGCTTCTTCTTAAATCTAAATAATGAATGCTCTTATCAGTAATACTGTATATTTGTAATAAAATGTCATAAAAGTGGCGGAGAATACTACAGCTATTAAAATGCTGAAAAACATTTCATATTTCATAACTTCATGGCAACATTTACTTTTTTATGTGAATAATTTTTTTTTTTTTTCAAAGAAAACTTAATTCTTTGAAAGGCATTAAGAAGTTATACACACAAGGAAGAGAATTTATGGATGTCAACTTCTTTGTCAATGTTTCGGAGTATATACTTACTGGTGAATGAATACTATGAGGCAGAGAGCATATATATGTACGTGTGGAATCTGTTAGCTGTATCCACCTTTTGTTATCTTATTACTTTTGTTGTACTAACACGTACATATATATGCTCTCTGCCTCATCTTTCATTCACCTGATGAAGGAGTAAGCATATACTCCGAAACATTGTGTTCTTCATAATAAAGAAGTTGACATCCATATATTCTCTTCCTTAAAGAAAAATTGTTACAAATTTAATCATTATCATCATAGAGTAGGCCTTACAATACTTCAGTATCTTCCTACTGCAGTTATGTATGCAAGACAGTATTGCCATTGTGTTTGGGGGTAAATGATTTGTGACGAATTAATAAGTATTATAGCTAAAATGGATAGAATTATACCGCCCGCATGTTATCAGAAATGAGCGGGCCACTGCAACTTGATAATGCCCTCATATTGCTTGACGACGGGCCATTATCACGCCCGTTGTTAGGTGACGTCATAGGATAGGGATAGGTGACGTCATCTGGTTTGTTTATGACGTTTCCATATTTGTAAAAGTAGGTCAGTGACATTCAGGTTGATTGCAGTAAATGTTTCAAAACTGATATTGTTGTTTCTTTTTATTTGATAACAAATTCCATCCATTTTAGCTACAATAACGGTAACGCTTTTTTTCAGGGCATTATCATTTGCAGAAGCCCTCGGTCTTTTCAACTGCCCTCCTTCGTCGGGCAGTTAATGGAAGACCTCAGGCTTCTGCAAATGATAATGCCCTGAAAAATAGCGTTACCCTTATAGCAACACACACCACAAAAGACAGAGTAAGCAGCTGAGCAAATCTTGTATCACAGAACCAGATTTTATTCAAACACGATCAGCCAAGAACACTTAGAGCCTGTTTAAACATGGAAGAATCATTACAAGCCTTCACCCATTTCTTCACATTGTTTGGCACTTCAGCGGTCTGTCCTGATTGGGTGAGAGCAGACCACATGACAATATCAGCCAATGACAGCGAAGAGCCTACTAGCCAATCATTTCTTCCTAATCTAGAGTTGAGAGATCGGACTGCTGCTGCCTTTTCTTTGTTGTTGCCATTGGTAACCTGTAGGTCAGCCATGTCCAGCCATTCGTCACTTTGTGTTGCCATGATGATGTCAGCACTGTCGTACGCAGGGTTGAGAATGCGTTCAATGTACCGAGCAATGTTGGCTTCCCCGAAAATCGGGCTTTGTTTGGCTGTGTTAACCATCAGAATTGGACCATTTTTCACTGAAAACAAAACAGAACTTATATATTTTATGTATAAGTTTTGGTGCTTCAATATTTGATATCCAAGTTCAGTCATGATAATGACTTAAACTTCAATACATGACATATTTTTTTCATCATAATCAATATCTTACATGTAATATAGTGAGTTTGTTAACTTTGCATGAAATCACAAGCTTACCTTTATGTTTGATAATATATTTGCAGTATGCTTTGTTTGTTTGTTTGTTGTTTAATGCCGCACTCAGCAATATTCCAACTATATGACTCTGGTCTGTAAATAATCGAGTCTGGACCTGACAATCCAGTGATTGATATCATGGACATTGATCTACACAATTGGGATACGATGACATGCATCAACCATGTCAGCGAGCCTGACCACTTTGGTGACCTCTTACGGCAAGCTTATGTTGCTGAAGATCTATTCTAACCAGGATCTCGGGTCTGCAGTATGCATAACCCCCTTTTGTGAGTTACTTCAAACAGTATTTCAGTCACATCAAATCTCTGTAGAATATTAGGTGAAGCCAATGAACACAGATATACAGTGCTCATAAACCAAGAACTATAATTTGAATGAATGGTGTATATGAACACAACCTGCAAATCCTGGTACATCTAAGGGAGACTAGTCCTCAATACAAGTTGTGACACCTTCAACCCCTGGGCCATCATTCAAGACTAAACATGACTAAATATGTCTCCCTTACCTTTTTTCCAAATGAGAGTTAGACAGACTTGGGCGTCCCTCCTTGGCACTGCCCCTCCATTCTTGAAGATGTCCTTGAGGTTGTCAGGTACCTCGAGAGTGGCGGAGGAGTGGACAAAGGTGGAGGCCAGGACCTTGTATGTCTCAGCTAGTCGCTGGTACAGAACCAGCAGCGAGAGGGGAGGACGGCTGGGGTCCGCCTGGATCACGATATCGTGGAACACGCCAGGCTTAAAACAGAAACATTATCATTTTGTGGAGAAAATTATATACAAATATAAACAAATATCAAAACTTCCTAATCCTTAATGAAGCATTGCAACCTTAAGCATTCAGAAGTGACTGCAGTGGAAAGGGAGATAATTTGACCCAAATTAGAGTTATCTCCCCTTTGACTGTGCATTGCTTCCCTGAATACATGTGTGCAAATGGTCCAGTGTTTAGGTGAGGTGAGGTGAGGGGAGGTGAGGTTAAATTGGGTTTAACATCGCGTTCAAGATTATTGCACTTATATAGCGATGTGCATGTACGTGTGTGTGTTTGTGTGGCTGCTTGTACTAGTCCGGACTGATGCCGATTTATAGTGCTAGCCCACTGAGATACCATGCCGCAGTTTAACATGAATACCCCACTCAGACACAGTATACTGACTCCGAGCCGACCAGTCCTTGTTTTATCCCCTTAAAGCCGAGCGCCAGACAGGGTAACAACAAGTACCATCTTTTAACGTCTTTTGGTATGACGCGGCCAGGGATCGAACCCCGGACCTTCCGCTCTCTGGGCGGACGCTCTACCACTAGACCGCGGAGGCGGTCCCAGTGTTTAGGTATTATATAACTCAAATAAACTGATACGTAATATCTGATGCAGGGGATGTCCTATGTTTGACCTGTATCAGTCCCAGATGAATTCTGCAATTTCGTGATTGTGGAAAGATTTGCAGAGAATGTGACTTACTGCATAACTGCAGAAAAAATCTGGGCATTTACCTTTATCAATCCATCAATACACCAATTCTCAAGCTTTTCTATCAAAATTTGCGCTTGAATGATGCCAAAAAAATTAATATGCCATTCAAACATACAAAATGTGAATCCTACAATAAAAAAAAAATTTAATAAATAATTTTTAATGTTCTTTAATGTGGTGATATGACTCCATAAAGTTAACATGTTAAACCCAACCTGGAATGTCTAAATGCAAAATATTGATTTTTTTTAAAGAAACATAATGAGCTTGCATTGATTTTTAAGGGGGAAATGGTCATGTCTTTACTGCAGAATTTTGTAATTTTAGCCGCAGAATTTTTATATTTTTACAGCAGAATTCGCCTGGGACTGCTATTACCTATGTTGCTTATTACCTACATAGGACATTGTCTAAATGGGACATTACCTGTGTTGGACATAACCTGTATGGGACATTGCCTGTGTGGGACATTACCTGTATGGGACATTACCTGTGTTGGACATTACCTGTATGGGACATTACCTGTATGGGACATTACCTGTATGGGACATTACCTGTGTTGGACATTACCTGTATGGGACATTACCAGTATGGGACATTACCTGTATGGGACATTACCTGTATTGGACATTACCTGTGTTGGACATAACCTGTATGGGACATTGCCTGTATGGGACATTACCTGTATGGGACATAACCTGTATGGGACATTACCTGTATGGGACATTACCTGTTTTGGACATTACCTGTTTTGGACATTACCTGTATGGGACATTACCTGTATGGAACATTACCTGTATGGGACATTACCTGTATAGGACATTACCTCTATGGGACATTACCTCTATGGGACATTACCAGTATGGGACATTACCTGTATGGGACATTACCTGTATGGGACATTACCAGTATGGGACATTACCTGTATGGGACATTACCTGTATGGGACATTACCTGTATGGGACATTACCTGTTTTGGACATTACCTGTATGGGACATTACCAGTATGGAACATTACCTGTATGGGACATTACCTGTATGGGACATTACCAGTATGGGACATTACCTGTATGGGACATTACCAGTATGGGACATTACCTTCATGGGACATTACCTGTATGGGACATTACCAGTATGGGACATTACCTGTATGGGACATTACCAGTATGGGACATTACCTGTATGGGACATTACCAGTATGGGACATTACCTGTATGGGACATTACCTGTATGGGACATTACCTGTATGGGACATTACCTGTATGGGACATTACCTGTATGGGACATTACCAGTATGGGACATTACCTGTATGGGACATTACCAGTATGGGACATTACCTGTATGGGACATTACCTGTATGGGACATTACCTGTATGGGACATTACCAGTATGGGACATTACCAGTATGGGACATTACCTGTATGGGACATTACCTGTATGGGACATTACCTGTATGGGACATTACCAGTATGGGACATTACCTGTATGGGACATTACCTGTATGGGACTGTCAGCGCCCGCCATGCCCGCAGCTTGTCCGCCCAGGGAGAAGGGGACGCCATACTTCTGGGAGAGTTTCTGTACTGACTGCTGCAGCTCCACCAGACGCTGGAGGACGTCCTCCTGCCGCTGCTCCAAGGCACACACAGGGTCAGAAGATGTCTGCAACACCACAACACCCATTACTCATTAATACCAATCTTTTTCATAACTGTATCTACTTGTTCTGGACCCATGAAGGTCCAGGTTAGAATAGGTCTTCAGTTAACTTGATACATCATATCCAACCTGTGAAGATCTGGGTTAGAATAGGTCTTCAGCAACCCATGCTAGTCGTAAAAGGCGACTAACGGGATCGGGTGGTCAAGCCCCCTGACTTGGTTGATGCATGTCATTGTATCCTAATTGTATGGATTGATGTTCATGATATCAATCACTGGATTGTCTGACTGCCGTCATATAGCTGGAATATTGCTAAGTGTGGCATTAAACAACAAACAAACAAACATATCAACTTACAATTGAGATAGTTATACCTATCATACTGATAAGAAGGAAAAAGTAACATAATTCAAGAGTAAGTGAGTGAGAGCGTGAGCTAGGTTGAACGCTGCTCTGAACAGTATTTCAGATATATCATGGCGTGTCTGCTTAATGTGGGAGGAAAGTCCAAACTGATGCAGGTCTCATACATTTACCACTTCGGTAAAACCCACCAGCATGGAAACGGTGCTGACAAACTGAGACACCGGGATTCAAACTCACAATCACAGATTTCTGACATGCCCAAGGGAAACAACTCTGCACAGCGAATTGCAGTGCTTCAGACGACTGAGCCAGCCATTCCTCAGATATTTCAAGAGACCATGCCTAAAAGTTTAGTGCCAATGACCCATCAATTCCTAGTTCAAATGAATGTCAAACGTATAGAATGTTTCTGCGTATATCGGGATATCATTAATTGCTGGATAAGCAGACAGTATTCCTCTCCTGTGTTTCTGTATCATAAATATCATACACTTGGAATACAAAAACGTATTGTGTCCATTTGGCAAGCATAACATAATTTTATCCTAATATATGATATTTATGATACAGCATAATGTAAGGATAATAATCTCTTTATCATATAATGTCAAAATAGTGGCTGTTTAAGAAGTAACTTCACTCACTGCTAGCTGACCTCATTTGCATATTTATCGAACATGATATCAAGTTTATCAGATTGGCCTATCGCAGAGATAACACTAGCCCAGATTTTATTCTAGAATGCTTCATGTTGGCACTGTCGTATATTTTTCAATAATGATGCAAGAATTATCACACATATATGGCAGTTGGGTGCAGGGGACAGAGGGTTTCCAATACGAACGAATCTCATACGAATACCTCAACATTATACCTCAATTATTTCATGACATTGACATTCGTCAATGTTCTTCACTTGCCGGTGTTTATATGAAGTGAGAAGAGTGCAACATTACAAAGAAAGCTCCATCACAATGCTTGATACCGTCATTACACTCACAGGAATTGAAATATCGCTGTGAGGAGCTTTGTTGTAGAGAAAAGCCTATTGCAAAAGGAGGGTTAATCTTTTGAAAGTCGAAGGCTGACTCATCCAAATTTCATATGAATAGGTGAGGGGAGGTGAAATGGGGTTTAACGTCGCGTCCAAGATTATTGCACTTATATAGCGACGTGCATGCATGTGTGTGTGTGGCTGCTTGTACTAGTCTGGACTGATGCCGATTTATAGTTCTAACCCACTGAGATACCATGCCGCAGTTTAACGTGTATACCCCACTCAGACACAGCATACTGACACCAAGCCGACCAATCATTGCTTTAGCCCCTTAATGCCGAGCGCCAGGCAGCGTAACAAGTACTATCTTTTAACATCTTTAAGTATGATGCAGCCGGAGATGAAACCCTGGACCTTCCAGTCTCCTGGACCATGGAGGTGGTCCTCATATGAACAGCAAGCCAATGACAGATCTGCTGTCCCAATGGCCAAAACATCCTGGACGGACTTGCATTAAGCAGAACAGTTTACTTTAAAAAAGACACAGTCGTATGCTGACTCCGAGCTGACCAGTCCCTTTACCGCCAAGCTGTGAAAGAACAAGTACCATCTTTTAATGTCCCTTGATCCGACACAGACAGGGATCGAAACACCGCCATTCCACCCTCCACTAGGTGGATGCTCTGTCCATTAGACCTCTGCGGCCGTCTATACAGCTTGAATGTTAGATTCACCAGACAGATACCATTAGGAATAGCATTCCTCTGAGAAGCAGCAGTTTCCCCTACTGCAGTCAGACATGAGGATTACGTTTCCTCCACCTGCAAACAGGCACGGTCAATCAGAGACCCGTGACATTCACATTCAAGGCTAAATGTTTCAAGTGGCATTTAGAAGCTGGAATGAAGAGCAAGGGAGATAGTTCTATGGAATGCAACGTTTTGGTGTAGATACTAACTTGCTTGATTTGGTTGGTTTGTTGTTTAACGCCGCACTCAGTAATATTCCAGCTATATGACGGCAGTCTGTAAATAATCGAGTCTGGACCAGACAATCCAGTGATTAATATCATGAGCATCGATCCACGCAATTGGGATCGATGACATGCATCAACCAAATCAGCGAGTCTGACCACCCGATTCCCATTAGTCGCCTTTTACGACAAGCATAGTCGCCTTTTACAGCAAGTATGGGTTGCTGAAGATCTATTCTACCCTGGATCTTCATGGGTCTAACACTGCTTGAAAACGGTGTTAGTATATACACCAAAATGTCGAATTCATTGAATTAAAGAAGTTGCATATCCACAGAACTATCTCATTTAACTTCATTAAGGCTAGTCTCAGATCTGAAGCTACAACCAGACCTACCGCACCAGCATAACGCACTGCATCCGGTTACTAACTACATCGTATCAACTTTCATGTGATATATGCACCGTATCACCTTCCATGTGCACACAGTGTGCAGCACAGCAGCCGTGCCAGGGTTCAGTGCAGAATTCAGTTAAGATGTAGGCAAAATAGGTTTTGTAGGTACATATAGAAGGTGATGATGATCTATTTGTGAATGAATTGCTGGAGTGACTATTTGTGAATGAATTGCTGGAGTGACTATTTGTGAATGAATTGCTGAAGTGACTATTTGTGAATGAATTGCTGAAGTGACTATTTGTGAATGAATTGCTTGAATCATTCCATCCCATGTTTTTGTCAGGTTATTCATGCCAATGCTTGATGCCCCCATTTAAGTGAATTTATTAGTGAATCATTTATATTATGTACAGATTTTATTACTCCAGACCCTATTAATCTAGAAACCCTCTTCCTGACTAATACCGCTAGAAACACTTACATTACCTTACGTGTACACACAAAGGAACATTATTTGCATCCATAATTTGCTTATAAAAATATTGTTCATTCAGACATTTTCCCAGGTAACTCCCATTCGACACCCATCCCAAAAAGCAGAGCTAGACGGGTCAAGCATTCAATAACAGTCAGTAAAGGGGAGTAACCTAAGCCATTTTCCATGAGACACTCGTGGTCAGCCCTTAAACTAACAGGGTTTCACTGCATGACAATTTGGCATAGAGTTGTAACTGTAACAGCTTATCATGTACATCAATCATTTAGGATTTGTTTGTTTGTTTGTTGTTTAATGCCGCACTCAGCAATATTCCAGCCATATGTTGGCGGTCTGTAAATAATCAAGTCTGGACCAGACAACCCAGTGATTGACATCATGATCATCGATCCACACAATTGGGATACGATGACATGCATCAACCAAGTCAGACAGCCTGACCACCCGATCCTGTTAGTCGCCTCTTGCAACAAGCATAGTCATCTTTTACTGCAAGCATGGGTTCCTGAAGACCTAGTCTGAAGAACCCCGGATCTTCATGGGTCCGATAATCAAAGAGGGAGGGATTGGTGGTGCATGGTCTCTCCTTGGTACAAATAGTCAGTAATGCAATGCATTATTCAACCCTTGGAACTGACATAATAGCCTTTGAAATTCATGAAAGTCTGCTAGTCTGAAACTACTAAATTGTGCTGAGGTCAAGTAAAAATCCAATGATGGTAGTCCTCATTGACTAGTAACATTTGAAGGCTGTAATTCTGAACAGTTCTCAATGCTTCAATTTGGCTACAAATTGGAACTGAATAAACTGACAGAAAATATAAAAATAGTAGACATTTCTGTCTCATTCAAGCACGACTTGATGCAAATTCTTAGGACTATTCAAATAATGTTTACACTAGTATTTAAAATAACAAAAATTCGGAAGGCTGTATGGCACTGCTACAGCCAATACTGAGACTGCAGGTCTGATAATAACAAGTACTGTAAATCTTGATATTGATGCGTCTCCAAATTAATACGACTGCTGACCCCTAGTCAAAAATTAATTTCAAAATTTACAGTAGTTGCATGAATCAGATCATTTTGCTTTGAACATTACTTAAGTTATAGCACAGCGTGTGGACTAAATGTTTGAGGAAAGTGCAAAAGTGATGCTGGAAATAGTAAGGGTCGATATAGCAAGGCAAATATCAGCAAGGCTGTTTCATGGCCTAATTATTTAGAAATACTAACGAAAAGAATCTCCATATTCATGGACTTGTTTTATTTCCGAACTGTTTTGAGTTTCGGATCTCTCCCCGTGTAACCAAGGATCTTGTTAAGTACAGAACCAGTTTTGTAGTAACTCTCCTATGAACTGATTGACTAAATAATTTAATCTTAATTTTGACATAAAAATTTTAAAATCCCATTTTTTTCCCTAAAATTAAAAGAACCCCAAACAATTAAGTCATTTGGCATTTTAATAATTCCCCCAGGTCCAATAGGACTAGACTATGGACATGGCTGACTAGACTTGCACAAGTCTCTAAAGAAAAGAATAATAGTTTAATTCACAATCCATACATTATCTAAATAATAATAACAAGTTATCCCTATAAAAGACTGGTATCCTTAGACTTATCAGCCTACCTAGACTTGCCAAATATAAACATAAAATAACTATACATCCATGGACTTTTCTTTCAGTACAGCCTTGGAGCAAGGCTAATGGCTGACCTGTGATGCCAAGCATCCATCAAGTGACCAGGTCCACAACACACCA